ATATCACATGAATAGCATAGAAAAAAAATGACGAGTGAATGTAGTGTACAAATTGAATTTAATGTTGCTTTGCATCGAATTTAGAGGCCATTTCAAACGATCAGCAGATAGAGCAAAAACAACAACGAAAAAAAACACATTGACTGCATATACTATTGACTAGTTTATGCAATATTATGCTTAAATACAAAAACTAAATCGAACGACAAACGAAATTAAAAAAAAAATGTATCGAAGAGAAAATCGACAACAGCAAAAAAAAGTGTATAAGCTAGTTGACGTCGACATGTCTCATGCAAGCCTGGCGACACGATGTCTGCCGTGATCACAAATACAAACTCATCAAACGGCATGCATACACGTAAGCACCATGGTCAGATGTGTATGTGTATGCGATGGTTTTGCTGTTGTTTTGCCTATTCAGTTCGGTTCACGTTGTTGACAATTATTTTTCCTTTTCTTTTTCATTCGAAGCTAAAGTGAGCGCAGTCATTAAAAATTACCCATACAATGTGAGAGAGTAAGAAGCGTTCACATACGGTCACCTATGCTTCGCACACTCCGGCTCAACTACATGAATATGAAAAGGCAAGGCAGTGAATACATAGCAGTGCATCCATAGCGCCTACAAGCCAAACCGTGTGTAAAGTGGATTTTGATCGTTCGTTTCCATCAAGAATCATACAAACACATAAACACACACACACACAGAGAGAGAGAGAGGCACATGGTGAGGCAAGGCGGCTGCAAAATACCGAACAAAATCCGAACCCCGACCGATCATGCACAACAAGAGCGTATATAGGTGTGCAGCAAATGACGACGTGAGAGAATAACAGAAAGAGACACAAGAGGAAAAAAAAACAACAACCTATGAGTTTGTGTGCGCTTTGCGTATGTTAAGTGTAACGATGATACTCGACTAACTTCTTTAATAAATATATGTAGAGTTTTTTTTTCTCTCTATACAACATTTACTTACGCAATAATAATAATTTTTTTGCCTTTCTCGAAAGCGCCATACTTGTCGCATGATCGTACGCTAAATTATATGTTGAAATGATTTTGATTTGTTCAATAACATGGCAGTAATATTCTCGAATTTTTCCACTGATAATTCTGAAGGAATTTTCCGAAGTAAATATTATTTTTTTTATAACATTCCGAATCGATTTTGCCTATGTTGCTTTATAAATTAAAGTCACAGCGCGTCCATTGTCGTCGTCGTCAGAGTGGCTATCGTTTCAATATTCCGTGAATATATGTTTATTTGATCTGAAACATTCACAGACGCTGAAGTGGCAAGCGCACCTAAACGGTGAAAAAAAAGGCGATCGAGAAAAAAACTCGTTTTGGCTTATTTATTGTGCATTGATTTAAACGAAGAAAATCTATACACTCGTTCATCTCTCTTTTATTTCGTTGAATTGCTTTGCATGATGCTTAAAAACGGATGTTCATGAAATATTTTCGTTCGGTTCTTCTTTCAACGGATTCATTCTCTGGCTTCATCGTGGCACTTCAAAATGAACAAATTTTGTGTGAACACCGATTTATTTATTTTTTTATCATCATCTTCTCCTTTTCCACGAAACAGATTTTTTTTTCGCCTCGTCTCGTTTAACTTGATGATGCTCATCATCGGCAAGAGAGAGAAAATAAACAAAATCATAAGAACAAATGAGAGAGAAAATGTAAACGAACAAAAAAGAAGGTACGAAGCGCATCAAAGATGATGAGAAAGAAATATCGAAGCGAACAAATAAAAAATATATGAGCACAACGAGAGGATTCTCATTCGGTGAAAATACGAATGTAAAATAAAGCGAGAGCGACAGAGAGAGAAAAAAAGATCAGCTTGAAATGCTTTGATGATGAAAAAACAAACTTGTTGTTGTCGCTTCTACCGTATTTCTGTAGGCGTTGCCTGATCTCGTTCTAGTGATTGTGTTCGAATGAAGAAAAAAAAAGACACGACAACATCACACAAAAAGTCGTTTATCTGCTGTCGACTGACTGAGAGAACGCAATGAAACAAACAAACGCCATGAACGCACAACCAAACGGCCAAAACAAAATAAATACACCGAAAAAAGCAAAGAATCACAATCGATTTGAAAATGAATAAAGGCAAAAGGGGACAAGAGAACGTTAATATTCAGATTCGTAGGCCTATTACGATTTGGATGAACACAGCGAGAAATCACACCACATGTAAATACATACGTGTGTACACGAACAATTCACGATGTGTATTTTTTTTTCATCTTGTGCAAGCAAATTGAAGAGAAGAGAAGAGAAGAAAATCGAGCGTGCGACAGCAGCAAGCCTTACATTGTATAAACATAATAATAATCGTTTCAATATGCAGATATATATATATGGGCAAGATTAGCCAAGCTGCCGATAGAGCTACTAAAATGTGTTTTCATGCTAATGCAATATAAATTCACTTGAAGTCGAATGCAGTTGAGCGAGATAGATGCATGGATTTGGAATAAAATTGCGCAGCGCACGTGAATTTCCGTTTTGAAATGTGCAAATTTTATGCGTCGATTGATCGTTTCGACAGCATCACCCAAACACGCACACACACACACCGCATTTTATATTTGGCTTGATATTTCGCGTGCATAGCGCGATAAACAGAAAATCATAAAAGATCGTTTCTCTTGGACTTTTACGAAAAGTACGAGAATGATGAAAAAAACAAACACAGTTTTTTTACTCAACTAATTGAATCGTGATTTTCAACACGACGCTGAAATTTCCATTGAATTTTATTGAGCATAAGCGTTTTCCACAGAATCAGAGGGAAAAAACCTTAAATTGTACAATTAGAATAAAAAAAACCAGCTGCACATCTGAATTAAACGGACATTGCTCAATTCTGAAATCATCACATCCAAAAAAAAAACAGAAACGTAAGCAACGCTTATTTGAGTGTCGAATTTTCAATTGAAAAAATGCAAATCTACTGCATATCAAATGTGTGTGAACGAATAACGTATCAATTTCGGTGTCGAATTCATTCGGGTTAAGAAACCAATCATTGATTGAAGTTCTGCGCTTGGTCCTCGTATAAAGAACGAATCGAATGAAGCAGAATGAAATGGGAGAGAAAAAAAAATCAGAAGACAAATGTTAGCAATAAAATGATAAAAAGAACGACGATCAAGACGCATTGTCTAAAAACACGCATTTTCAATTACACAACGAGTTCTACGAATACCCAACGGATTCAATATACACAGATGATGATGATGATGACGATGAAGAAGAAGTAACAAACGAATATCCAAACGACAAGATTCAATGTATACACGTATCAGGAGCAAATATGTTTTCAGTGTGTGTGTGTGTGTGTATGTGTTTGAATGTATATGAGAGTTTGAGTGGGATGAAAAACACCATATGAATGCGCCGGAATGAAATGGAAATAAAGATTAATGGCGTCCGAAATCGATCACTCAGTAGAATATATAAAACGCAGTGTTGGTTCTTTCTTCGTTAAATTAATGTTTATCCGTCGCTGAAAAGGCATTATAACCAACAACAAAACATATATTGTAAAAAAAACGTACAGAGCCGTATACAGCGCGCACAGATTTATTTTTTTCTCGTTCCTCTTTTTTTTTTTTGCTCTCGTACGTATGTGTCGCTCTAATGGATGGTTGAACGTGGAACAAGAGAAGAGAAGAAGAGGAAAAAAACTTTAAGCGGCGTTTACTCTATACGTATGAATTCGAACGACCAGTTGAGAATTATTTTCATTTAATTCCATTTGGCGGTGGTGACTTGGTGTCTGTCTCGCTCGTATGCTGTGCGATGAGTTTGTTAAAAAAAATGCCAATGCATCTACGCACACAAACAGTCGAACCGATTGATTTTTCCCTTCAGCAACACAACGAGATGCAACTGTGTGCGATTTCGACGAACGAACGAGCGAAAAACAAAACCAAGCACCAAACGCTTGTTACAGCCGAAGGAAACAGTGATTAAAATACACATGAATCTCGGTTCAAAAACGAATGAAACGGAGAAAAACGAATCGAGAAAAGACAGAATGAGTGAGGGAATGAAATACAAAATAAGTACTTCACCAATGAAGCGGATTGCGAGACATTCGATCGCCACATTCATCAGAATTGGCTATGCACAAACACACACACACTCATTTGCTCGCCTGCTCACTCACACAAAAATCACAGACAACATACTGCGTACCATATGCATGCAGGCTTCAATGCAGCGGGTGTGCAAGAACTGTAAGTGAGAACGCGCGCGCGATTGCAATGAGGTGCTTTATCAAGAATACAGTCTGTGTATAGGTATACACACATGCATTTGAAGTAGAATGTTTGATGGAAAAAAACAAGAATCGGAATGTATGTGCCTATGCATGTGCATGAAGCCGATATGCAGTGCAAAAGAGAAGGAAATAGAAAAATAAAATACTAAGTGACACCTAACCGAAAGCAAAAAAAAAAAACGAATGGAAAAAAAGCAATCGACAGACAGAGAAAAATGATCCGCTTGTTCGTTGGAAAAACAAGTGTGAGTGTGTTTAATATGTGAAGTGTCTGTGAGATGCATTCACAGTACGGTGCGCCCATTCACATATTATTTTTTTTTTGTTCTTCTCGCTCTCTTTCTCACTCTCTCTGTTTTGTATCTCTTTGTCTTCATCCTACAACGGCTAAAACGTAACACTAGCCGTACTTGCCATATAAGCGTATGTATAGCTATGTGTGAAAAAAAAGTAAGCACTCTTATTTGTATATATGCGACACACCGCTCCCGCATACACAACGCCGAATAGTCTGTGTTTGCCGTACCCGGTTAGTCTAATACACACCAATACATATTGGGGTTCTGGTTCGGACGCAATGACGATACGTGCCGTGTGTATGTGTGTATGAAGTGTAGAAACGCCGCCGACGAACCAAACTTAAGCGAAACGATTATAGCAGAGTTTAGTCATAATTTAGAATGAGATCCGATACACAGCAACATTGCTCATCAGTCTCGTCGTGAAAATCAGACGAATTTTTTTTATTTCTCTTTAAAATATTTCAGTTTGATTTTTAAACAAGTTCAAGTAGCTATATCATTTTGCAATATATATTTTTTTTGTTATTAACTTTTCGATTCGATACAATTTGCCTTTTAAATCATAAAATATCAAGTTTAAAATCATCATCAACGATATTTAATTTTTGATTGATTTAAAAACAAAACGAAGTACATTGCCTTTTTCTAAAAAAAAAACTTTTGAATAATTTATTTGTGCAAATACAATCTGTGAACCGAAAAGTGTAGACATCAAAAGAGATGAAAAAAAGTGAGAAATATCCCAGCCAAAGTGTGAAACTAATATAACGAATTTCATTCACAAAAGACACAAATACACGCAACACAGTGATACTGACAATTTAAATCCACTCAAAATCAAATATATTCCCAATCTTGCATAGAATCGCCGGAAATTTTTCTGTAAACATTGTGCAATTGATTAAAAGGGAGTATTTAAATGTAAAATAAGTGACAAAGACCTGGACGAGAAGAAATTGTTGTCATTGATTTTGGTTTTTTTTCTTCGTTTTTAATTTTGTGAAATATTTTTTTTTTTTGCTTAACGCCTGCTGTGTATTGTACACTGTTGTTTCGCCAAACTGATCAATGAGTGTCGACTACCAATGTATACGAAGCAAGTCCAAGCAACAATCGCAACGATTTAAAAAAAAAGAGAGACAAACTTAACTGCTGTTCGATGCTAAAATAGAATGTGCGGTCGGTTCCAAGTAAAACACTTTTTTTTTTCTTTGCAAGTAGCACCAAACGCGCGTTTGCGACACACACACACAAACCAGTTAAATTGAAGTTGACTTTTCTAGTGTGAACTCATAATAGCAACAAATAATTTTATTTTTTTCGAACGAAAAAAAAATCAGTATTTGTTTACACGAATTCGGCACCACATCGTTTTCAGCTTATGAATAGAATGATATACAACGAAAGTGCTGTACGTGATTTACTCCATAACAAGCCACTCAGAATTGCTCACGTATGCGATAATCGTAATTTAGCAAAAATAACAACAACATTAAATGAATAAAAAAAATAATAAGCCCCATAAATAGTGGACATTTTGCCTTTAATTAAAACATGAAAGAAAAACATTTAAATCTAAATGAAAGCGATTAGACTGATAAAATAATAGCTCCATTGGGATATACGAACATAGAGAGAGAAAATAGCCGAAAGAGAGACAGAAGTGTATAAAATAAAACGCTGAGAGATGATTAAGAATTTAATGTGATAGATATCGTCCAGTGAACAAATACAACCATTTATATCAATTTGAGCGTCGAAAAAAAAAGAAACAAAAAACACACATACGAGATAGGAGTCACAGCGACAAAACAGACATTGTCCAAATAAAAAAAGGCGAGAGAAAGAACGAGATAGAAATAAAAACGATGTCAACAAACTGTAATAATTTAATTAAAACGCCACTAGTAACTGTCGCGAACATTGCAACCATGGCATCATCAACACATCATAATCATACACCACAAAAGCAACCACAGCATCCGATAACCACAACAAAAATGGGATCCCGCCGCATATTTTCTGCTCAATTTAAGCTCACCGTACTCGATTCATATCGCATGGATGCCGATTGTAAGGGAAATCAGCGGGCCACCGCTCGCAAATATGGTATTCATCGTCGTCAAATCCAAAAGTGGCTGCAAAACGAAACAAATTTGCGATCGAGCGTTAATAACAATAACAATAATAACAACAGCGATTTACAAAATAATCAGAATAACAACAACACCTCCGCTACCAGTCACAGTAATGCGAATAAAATGAGCGCCATTCAAGTAATAAATGGAGGCGCTGTACTAAATGGCCGAACCGTGAATAATTTATCATTATCCGGTGCGGACAATGTCAACGCAAAACGTTTAATCCATGAAAATGCATCATCAGTCACAAATAAATCAATACTAAATCAATCAACGATGTCTGGCAGCCCAACGACCAATTTCCATTTCACAAAAAACCATCAACAACAATACCACCACCAACACCAGCACCAGCACCAACACCAACACCAACAGCAAAAATACAATGCAAATGAAATCAACACAATGTCCTTGGATATACCTAGACATAGCGTCGCTGTAAATGCACGAACTCATAATAACAGTAATAGTAACAGTGGAAACAGCATCGAACATACTATGATAAAGACAGAGACAGGCAACTACATCGAATGCTATGGCACAGGCAACGAATACAAGTGCGCTACAAATGCAGCAGCACCGACCACAAATACCAGTTTTCCCGTTTCAAGTACATCCACTTCACCAGCGTTAGCGCCGTCGTTTGTTGCTCGCCCAATACCGCATTCATCATCAAATGAAACGACCGTTTCATATGCATCTCAACGACAACCATTGCGCATCGTTTCACCGTCGTATTTGTTGCCGTCCCCATCACAATCAAATGCATCGCATGCATCGAACGGAATTCCAATGATTGACAATACAAAAGCGTTCCACCCAACCCATTATCCGGCCACTTATCATCATCCACAATCGGTTGCCGTTGCGGCCGCTGCTGCTGCTGCAGCTGCAGCTGTTACATTTCATGAAATCAACCCAATGCTTTATGAATCAGTTCCACCACAAATCGGTATGATCCCATCAATTCGACATTATTTACCACATGAATTGCAAGTTGCCTCATTTGCATCAAGAGCAATGCCGTCGGCATTTGAAACACCATTCCATTTGTCACATCAAAATGGTTTCTATGAACATCCAAATGCATACGAAATGTATCCATCATATCTACCATCGATTGCAATGCCAACATCCAACATTATGCCCGAATGTGTCACACCAAAAACGGAAATTAACATTGATATCGATACAAAATCAAATGAAGATGAACGATGTGACCGACCACAATCACCAATCGATTTAACAGTACCTGCCCGTCAAACATTGGCCGAATCATGTCGACCGATCAAACCACGTTTCTCATTGCCATCACCACCGGTTAAAGCAGCATACAAAGCGCTCGAAATTCCATATACCGATAACAATGAAATCGAATACAAACCATGGGATTTAAGATGCACACGTAAACGTAAAAATGACGATGACATTGATGAAGGTATCAGCATCAATGGCGAACAAAATAAAACACATGAAAAATTAGCATCTAGTCCAACACCAGCCAAAGTTGTTAAGCTATTCAAACCGTATTTATTGTCCAGCGATGATGAAGACGATACCACCGATAATGACGGAAAAAAGTGCCCAAAATCGGATGAACAAACAACGGCAACAACAACAACAGCAGCCCAACGCGATCCGATTATTTGGAGCAGTCATAAATTTTATGAAAATAATAGCCAAACAACGATAACGCCATTTCAGTCACCAATCGTAAACACACAACCGCAAACTCATTCATCATATTGGTTAAATCATGGTTCACCGGTGTCTGGTTATGATAGCGCTTCGTCAACATTCAGCGATTGCAATTGCACTGACTCGAATTGCCAAACAAAATTGGCATCACCCGCACCGACAGTTGCATCAACATTCTCGGATGATGTCAGCGCCGAAACAACTGTGCCAACAACACCACAACCAACGAAATACATTGTACCCCGTCGGCATATTCTTGAAAAATGGTCACACGAAGACGATGAACTCCAATCACGAAGCTCACAGTTCAATCGAACACAACAAGATATCACCGTTCGGTAAATGTCCAAACATTTTGTAATAGTTTATAAGCTCAATATCTAGTTAATCGTTTCGTTTTCGAAAATGATACTCTTTCAATTTTGCATTAAGAGAAAAAAACAACAATTTCTTTTTTAATATTTTGGCCATATAAAAGAACGAAATTTCTGATTTGTGATAAAAAAAAAAACATTTTTTTTTCTGAAAGATAAAATTAAAAAAAGAAACAAACAAAAAAAAGAATGAATGATTAAATTAGATCACTTTACTGATTACATACTCCGATAAACATAATCACAAAAGCGATAATCGATAAAAGCCTTACTCTTAATTCCTGTAAATCACATCAATATTTTAGATGTGGATTATTTCTATTGCTGACGATACAACGGAAAATGTGATTTGATCGTTGATTTCCGTTTCCGAAAAAATTAAAAAGTCATAAAAAGAATACACCATAGCCATGATGGCTTGAACAAAGAGTGAAAATCGTTTGAAAAATAATTCTCGCACGCTCATTAGGCGCAAACCATCAATTATTTATAATTCCATTCGGCTTAAATGTTGAAGTAGCTCGGAGAGTGAAAGAGACGTGACAGAAAAAATAAATGATTTTTTTTTCAGCACCCTGAAATTAGAAGAACCTGAATTTGGTTGTGCGCGCGATATAATTACCAGTTTACTAATAATAATTGCTTCTGTACGCGTATCCATTCTTTCCTGATTTGTTTTTTTTTGTCGTCGTTTGAAATTGTTTCGTCTTTCGTAGACAATTAGACGGCCAAGGTGTTTGTTTGAAATTCATCGCCAACATTAAATGCTTTCGGGGATTTGTCTTTGTTCAATAAAGCATTTTTCAAATCAATATTAATCTCGAATTTATTTTCTCACATAATGTCACCATAATAGTGATTTGATTTCCCATTCAATTAGTCATTTTGGATCGTGCTTATAAATACCGCCAAAAAAAGAAACCATTTTTAAATTGTCGTATTAGTACACGGTTTCGGTGTCGATGTTTGGTGGGTGCGCGTATTTCTTTTTTTCAACACATTAAATATTTAAAAATTCAATCACGCATCCAACGCCGTCATAAAAAAACAACTACCGAATTTCGGTATTCGTTTGACGATATTTATTTAATTACGTATTTAAATTGATGTTGAGCCCATATAAAAAAAATCATTAATAATAATTTTTTATTACACGTTTGAGAATTAATTAATCGTCGGCTTGTTATCTTCACCGAAAAACAAGCATATCTTCAAAAATGTAGAATTAAACAACAACAAAAAAAATAAATTCGAGAATTGAATTGATCCGTTGCATATTTAATGTGTTTCCTGTGAATTGAACACAACAAACACGATATGGATTTTAATTGCATATCAATTAATCTTATTTTATCACCACGAAAAAAAAAAATAAAACCACCATGACGATGGTGTGAAATATGTGAAATGCACACATGAGTCTGTTTCATAACGAAACAAGTTAATTACATGCTATATATTGGACTGGAGGGGTTATTTCCATCGAAAAGTCTTAATAATTTTGCCATCAGTTTTAACACCTTCGCCGACATTGTTTTTTTTTTTAAATGTTAAAATCGTGCATCGAATGACTTTCATTACACGTGCCGATCGCATTTATTCTCAAATGACACAATCCATTTGATGAATGAGCGGCCAACATGAAAGAATTTCAGTGCGTTACCAATTTTCTGCGCATTTGCAAATGAGCCATTTTTGTAGGTCTTTCGTCAAAAATTCTTCTCCCAATAACTTGTCTCTTTCTTTATCGCCATTTTCATTGTCGTCGTTTTCATCTTCTTTTTTTCCTCTTTGCACCTTGCATTCACATTTCTTCTTTTTCACTGATCCAAAGCAAGTTTACGACACAATCACTTGTGCCCCTTGTCTTCGTAACAACAACAAAGAAAAAACAATATCGTACGTGAAAATTGTACAGTAGGTCGTAGTGAAATGGCATTGGGTTGGTGATGCGGGAATTTCCCAGTTTTAAGCTCTCAATGGCTTTGCGACAAAAAAATAAAACGAAATCAACGACAATTGTTTTTCGAATAGTTCAACTGAATGGTCTTAAAGGCTCTGTGGAAATGATGTTAAAAAGCAAATAATATATGTAAACTGTAATAAACACACCTTAATAGCACACTCAATACATTCGGCTCAGACTTTGTCATGATTTTTATTTCTCTCTCTCATACTCTCTATCTCTGCCCTCTTCTTCTTCTTTTTCCATTCTGTCAATCGTTTCGCTTGAAATTTTGTGAAAACGAACAACATAAAATTGATTGTCACCAACGAGTGAGCGTTTGGGCTTGATTTAAACGGAAAGAGTGGAAAAAAAGCACCTAACACGAAGATATATTAATTTTTATGACTTTTTAAGCTGTTTTCGATGGTCATTTGTCAAGTATTCGCTCAGATGAAGCCAGTTTGTGATTATGATTTTTATTGGAAAACATGACAGTTTAGTTCTTTATTTTAGTCATAGAGACAAAAAACGAGCATATTAATGAACTGCAAATCGTAAACATACTAAATTATTGAGTCCATCACACACTTAACAAGCAAATGACACAAAAAAAATTCCCTTTAAAAGCGTGTGTGTGAGTGGTTTAAAATCGATTTGAACAACAGATAAGAGATCGATTACAAATTCTTGATACTGAATACATATTTGATGGAAGTGCCTTATATTTACATGAAAATTATATGAACAAAAAAGTGGAATAAGAAATTTCAAGTGCCAATACAACCGAAAATAAAACAACAAACATTGATTGTTTGTCTTTTGTGTGCGAAAAATCGACACACATACACACAAAAGAAACAATACAGTCAAAACTGAGTTCATTTCTTTTTTATTCGCATATTATACAATAATTTACAATATATATTTAATCAAGACAAACAAAATCACATACACATATTTTCTATGACATTTTAAGACAAACAAATAACGAGAGAAGAAAGAAAAAACAATCCCGAAATATTATAGATACATAAGCGAATCAATTGAATAAATAAAAGAATCATAGATTTAAGTAATATTGTAATTATATAATTAAGCAAAAATGTTGCGAATCATTTCTTTTCGCTTCGAGAAAAGGGAGCTGAACCGAAAACAAAACAGAAACCGAGCAACAAAAAAATGATTACTTATCAATCGAAATTCAAGCAAACCCAATGATAATTTTTGGTTGCCAAAAAAAGAATACATGGCGCAAAGCATAATTAAAAATTAACCTTTGTACTTGAACTGTACACATTCTGTATGGAAGATAAGGCAAAACCATGATTTACAAGTCTGGACTAATTAGGGGGAAAAAAATCGGTTACAGTGTTAAGTACATCCGTTCAACTTGAGTTGATTTATTTATAACAAAATACGAGAAAAAAAAGACGACACAATACAGTAATAAATCAGTGTCCGAAAATACGGTGATCTATTTTTAAAACTATATGGCAAACGATGAAATTTTAGTAATCAGCGGCGCTGACGATGATTATTAAATGTTTTGTTTTCGAATTGAATGTTTTGCTTTGAACAAGCAATGCCTTTGACATCGTTCCCTTTCCGATGAGCAGCGCGTTTATAATCGAATAAACTTCAAATTCCAAGATATAAAATTGTAATTCACCAGCGCCCGAGAATGAAATGATTCCTTGAAATATGAAATTTTTGATGTATACCAAAAAAAGTCGAAGATAAAAATGCAAATAAACTGTCGCTCACAACAATTCGTTCAGTTCGTATTTATGTTGTTTTTTTTTGTTATCAATAAGACATTCTTTTATTACTTTTTGTGAGGTAATTTAGTTTAGAAATGCGATAAAATAGAGGAAATGAAAGAATCGATTAGATCGAACGTTTGTTTGTCCGTATGTTCTCTGTGCAAATGCATAAGTCTATAAGCAAAGTAAGAAATTATCTATAAATAGAGAGGAAAAGATATTTTTTTTGTCTTCACATTTATTGCGATTATTAAACTCTATATCAAAATATATCATCAATTAATCATATCAAAGTCCGCACCCAAACTATGTGTTGGGTGTTACATTTATTATATCGTAACTTTTAAGTATATTATCGTTTCGTTCTCATACTGAAAATTGTTTTCGTCACTTTTAAATTGTAGATAGAACAACAACATATGAAATGTTTGTGAATTAAGCTGTGTCGAAGAAAAAAACTAAGAATTCGTCGAAACCCAGTTGTTTTAGTTTTTCAGTTGAAAATGCACCACGAGTAAAGGTCTTCAATTGTAGCTTTTAAAGCGATCTTATAGGTTTTCTCTCTCTTTTTTTAAACTTGATTCGAAACATATGTGAAATTTAAGATAAAAAAAAAACCTGTTGCAAATAAATTATCGTGTCAATTAAGCAATATTAATCAAAAAAAAAATTTGAAGAAAAAAAAAGAGAAGAAGAAGATATAATACTTTTCAAACATATATTTACATTGCTAATGTTAATCAATAAGTTTATTTCGTAAGATAGTATCATCGTCATATTGGTCACTAATGTAATTTGGAACTGTTTGAATTGTGGTCTGTAATCGGCAATTTTATTGTATCTAAGAGACATGTCAAAACATTTATTGTATTTTTTTAAGAAACAACAAATTTATTATCCTATCCATATTATTCATTTGAAAAAAAATATTATTATTATTCTGTATTATTATCGTATATTGTATTTAAAATCCAATGAAAAACATAATGAAATTAATAAAATTAATCGATTTCCTTTCTAATTCGACAATAAATTCCTGCAGTTTTTTATTTCATCATTTTAGCATTTAGCTTACGTTAATCGCATGCGGTGAGTATTAAAGTATTTAAAATTGAAGCGCCAAGCAAATCCAAGTTCATTGCGAGATGATGATGTCATTTACCGTTTACGTTTGATCTTTTTTTTTCTATAAAATGAAATTCCTAGTGAGGCGGAACTCACGACGAAAAAAAAAAATGTTTTCGTTCGCCGTTTCAAACAATGATTAAAAATTCTTTGAGATAGTTTTGGAGGTGAAACGTCGATTCTAATGACATCGAGAGTCAATTTTAAACAGCGCCAGTCCTTAATATATGTCAATCGGTGTGCCCATATCTCGTAAATAACCGATTTATTTGCCGCACAGACAAATTTATTGATTTTTATTTTGATCTCTATGATCGCGCCTCATTTATTTTCGCGCTTCGATCGGTTGACATCATTTTCTTTGTTTGTTTCTTTATTGATTCGCGATATCGTGACCGTTTGAACGTGTCAAATATCTTTTATATATGCACACATTTTTTTGTTTATGATTTCATTCTTAAACAGTTTTTGGTTTAAGATTTTTGTCGGGTTTTCATTCATGCGCGCCCAACACACACACACACACACAAATATATATATTTACGACTTGTGATGGTTCGATGTTTTTTCGGTGTTTGGTCAAGGTTTTTGAAAAACAAAGTCAAAAGAAGACAATGAAAAACAATTGCTATGGTTTAAACGGTGAAAAGTCATTCCAGAAATAGCCTATATGCCATTCAATGGATTCGTCCAACCAGTTTCCGAAGCTGAATATCAAGTCATTGACAAAAATCATGAAATATGATAGAAAATCCCGTAGCTTTGGGGTCATCAGCGACATTAAATAACAAAGGTAACTTAAATGATTCAGTTATACAAAATAAAACCTTTTGACGTGCCGTGCACTTGATCGACTCAAATGTATATTGTAAAAGAAACGATTTACAGCACAATAAAGGTATCAACACAACAACAAACACAACGGTGAGTAATAAAATTTAAAAATATCCAAATGATTTGCATACGGCAACCGTATGGTTTTTTATATTTCATAAATGTCTACGCACAATTCATATCTTTGGCTACGAGAGACGAAATTAATTTACCCAATCACAATAAAACGTAAACTATGTGAAAACATTTGTATCTTTTCTTATGCGATTTTTTTTCTGCTTCTCTCCGTGACATAGAATCATCGGATTTGCATAATGAATTTTTTCTCTTCTGCCTCACACGCGCACACATAGTCGAATTAATTTTAAAAGATACACGTTTCGGGCGTCATTCAGAAACAACTACGTACGAAAATATATGGATTTTTTTGGGATCTCGAGCGAACAAAAATGGGTGCAGTCGAAACTGCAAACAACAAGTGGCCACCATCAAAACGATTTGCACAATCACATAAATTAAATTTAAAATCTGAGAAAAATCCGAAAATAATCATAAAAAAACTCGAAATAAAACGATAACACTAGATAGAATTGCGACACATTGAACGTTTTATCTGTGTCTTGGTTTCATTCGTCTTCATTCATTCAACTTCCACAAAACGAACTCCAGTTTTTGATATTTAAATTTTTCGCCTGTCAAACCAACAGACAAACAAACATGCGAAAAAAAACGGTTAAGAAGATGAAACATCGAGATGCGATGGAGCATAAAAGAAAGAAGAGCGACCAGACATTTTTTGCTGCCACTGCTGGCGGTGGTGAAGGTGAAGCGCAATCACTAAGTTTTATTGTCAACAAAATCCAGCGAAAAAAGAGCAACACGAAATAAAAACAGAAAAAAAACACACACACATATAGTTAATACTCACAACAAACCGTGAGATTTATAAATCGTTTTCTTTTATTCATTTAATTGCAGTTTTTGGCATTTTTGTTTTCTTCTTCCACATTTATCGCTTGGGATTTTTTTTTATTGATTTGAAAGCGCCAAAAAGCTGATTTTACTTGTGATATTCAGATTTTGTTTGTGTCGCTGGGTGCGATGACAATAAATTTGATTATTTTATTGGCATGTCGATTTCATCCTCTAACTTATTTTTCCTTCATTCATTCAACTGATATGCGATTTTGGTGTGATATGTTTTCATTTGTCTCCTCTTTCTTCGGGTGAAATGTACAGTTAGGTAATTAAAAAAAAAAGATCGACTGCAGTGGCACTGGCCATCATTTATTGTGATCTTAATTTAATTTTGCCATTTTAGCAAAAAATCTCTATTGCCAATTTAAATAAGATGGCCCCATATCTTCATTAAAATAACGTTTTGAGTGACAGTTTAATTGAATTGGACCAAACTGAACATTCCATTGAAAATAGATTCCGTATTCTTTATCTAATGTTTCTTCTTTTTTTCTCACGGCATTTCTCTTTCGTCACTTTCCTTTCGTTGATCACTTATCGGAATCGGCCGCGCATGCTTCAGAATGTGTTTTTTTTTCTTCTTCATAAAATACTCCACACGCATTCAAAACGGGCTTTCCAAAGAATTGAATCAAATAAATCCAAAAAGAGATAGAGCTAAATGCCATATTTTTCAATTTGATACGTAGTTTGCGCCTGTGATATTTCCATTCGAATACATTTTAAAATTAATCACTTTCGACCTCTGAATATGGTAAATAAATTTGAAATGTGATACATATCATGGCGCTCTCACGCTCTTTATCTTGTATAAATCCTTTATTGATCGGTGTTTTGATTCGTTCGAAAGTATATTTGGATTTCGGGCCACGCGTGTAAGTGTCAAATGATTTGATTCAAATTCGGTTTTTATTTTACGTTGACATTTCAACAAATGTAGCAAAAACAACAAATCAAATCAAATATCATTTTACAAATTATTTCACAAATCACACACGTTATTAAATTTGTTTTTCTAGAATATTGTGTGAATCATTTAATGATAGCAATGTTCTTTGAATTTAATGCGAGCGTTATTATGATGAAAAAGCATCTCCGAATTTTGATAATATTCGCGTCATTTTTTCATTTTATTTTCTACGAATTCTAAAGGACTGAATGAGAGAATTACAAAAAAATGTCTTTTAAAAAAGTTATCAATTCCAGTAAGACACATATAATTCTTGTACTACCGCGTAAAGCTGTTTTTGATTTTTCTTTTGCTTAATGAAGTCATTTTAAATTAGCATAGAGTGTGACAGCAACAAAAATATATTATCTTTTGATCAAATGACACGATCGAATTTCGTGCAAAATGAAAATCAAAAAAGCCTACTAATTAATTAATTGACATTAATTTATTAGACTGTTATCTCCATATGACGTTCGATCTCAACACGTTCGTTGTATAAAAATCGATATCAAGATCGATTTGAAATCTAGATCAAAATGTTTACGACCTGCAGTTAATAAATTCGCTTTTTATATATTTTTTATATAAAATCTTTCATCACTCTCTACCACCCTCTCTCTCTCTCTCATTTTGCGCATGTTTGTATCTGCGGCTCTAATAAGCCGATTTAATTGTTTTTTTTTTTGTGATTGTTCCAATTACAAATTTCAATTGTTCGTTGAAAGAGCCACCATTTTTAGAAAGAGGTGAAAAGAGCTGCACAAAAAATACAATTGATAAAAGTGCGCATATTGAATACGGTGAGAGAAAGAACGATAAAATAAGAAGAACAATGACAAAGAAAAAAGTGATGTATGGTATGGAAGAACGCCGCCTTTTGTTCACATAAATGTGAACGTGTGTAAATAACTCCAATCTTTATCTAGTAGACAATTGCGATTGGTTTACTCATCAAAAACAGAACGCCAAAACATACAATCGATGTTCTCTTGTATTGTATAAATTGTGTATTCGTTTGCTTTTCAATTGTGGAGACACGCGTATTCCGAACCAATTGTAAATAAAAGACATGTACACTAATGAAAACTGAAATAAATGTGTATATATATGAAATATTACGCGAAATGATTTGTTCATCATCGTTTGGTTTAGTGGCTGTACAAATTCATTGTTATTGTTTGAGAATGATTACATATGCAAAAGGGCCACTGGTCTTTGTAGATTGTTAGCATAATCTGTTTGTATTTTCACTTATAAGGTATTGAGAATCAATTGATGATTTGGATGATTTGGTGTGGCTTCGTCGGCATACTTATTTTGTTTGACCATTAAAATTGAGCAACTTCTTTTTTTTTGCATTGTGCATTAAAATGAGATGCGTGCACAGCATTACGATTTATATATCCGATTTGAAACCGATTGTTTTTTTTTTGGGGGGTTATGATAGGATTTCTGTTTACGGACATGTATATATTGTCTCGGCATACAGCATAAATTTTGTCACCTGTCACGTCTCTTGTATTTATCTTTATATTGTCGTTTTGGGCTTGTCTCCCCACTGAAATTAAATTTTATGATTTGTTGGTTTTATCAAAGCACCGCCTTCGTGAAAACAACACACATACACGCCACTCTTCTTTTTTTACAATCAATTTTAATTGTGTCTTTTACGTTTTGATCGAAACGTTATTGCGCTTTGGTTTGGTTTTTTACCTGATTGCTGCGTGTATTGCAATATGCGCATTTATTGCATGCCAATATTGATGTCAAATTGTAATTGATATCGCTTGGGAAATTGGATGTAATAAAATGGAATTGCGATCAAGTGATAATCCATTTAACCAATCGATTACGTCAAGGACGGTCATTTCTAAACCTCATTTTTGGTTTTTGTACGTGTGTCTCGTTTCGATGACGTTCATTCATTATACATTTTTTTTTGCCCAATATTATTTGAACGACACCTTTGGTGATATGTACATTTTCAGTTCGATGTTTCTGGACAACTTATCACAAATCAAATAGTTCCACGTTAATGAGACACAATTGTGTGACTTTTTTGTGTGAAATACAATATATTTTTCGCCACGAACGCAAAAATTGAATACAAAACAAGAATGAAGCCCTCAAACGAAATGCGCTTAGATTTTCTTTTTTTATTGAATGGTAAATAAGTCAGATTTAATTTGATTCTTAATCTACACTAAAAATATATCGTTCAAGGTAAGTTGCCAAGTCGTTTACAATCGATTTTATCCAATTGTACTAATGGTTTCAACTGTTCGGCAAACGCGCGCATATCCTCACCGATGGCATCTTGGCCGGTGGTTGCCAGCACGGAGAGTTCAACCAAATAACTCTGAGATATGGGGTCATTGAATGTCTCGCCCGGTTTTAATGGTGTCACTTTGAATATTTTCGAAACGGTGATCTTCATTCGACCCTTTCGAAACATATATCCACGATTAATATACTCAAAATCCACGCGACAACCCAATTCCGTGAGAAACTCAACAACCGATGATGTACATGCGACATTTATGCTCGAACGAACTAAAGTTGGACGCGTTCGATCACCGATTTCCGGCTGCCCAATGTACCTCAATTGATATGGTTGGAACTGATCAGTCTCAGCCGTTGCTTTTTTCACACGCAATTGAAGTGTATTCTGAAAATGAAAATAACATTTGGATCACGGCATATACAAATAACAAATGGTATTGATGACTTACTGGCTGATTTGGCATACGTAGGCTGAATGAAATTTCATGATCTTGAAACTGTTCCGGTCCAGAATCCACGTTATCACATAGCCCCTTCAATCTAAATAATTAAAAAACCATTTTTTATTATCAACAGTGTGTGAGTGCATTTCAAAGCAACAACAAACCTGTGCAACAAATGCTCCACGGCCGAATCCAAAATCGAGCCTTGCAGCAAATACTCTTGATTTGGAATGATGTGATCGTTCATCGCTTTGATCCAATTCTCACTTGGTGTTGTTACGGAGATATTTGCCATGGTGAACTGGAAATTTTGTTTTTAGAAAATATATGTGTAAAGCGTCGTCTTTGAGGTTAGGCGTGTTATTGTACTGAAGTCAAAATCAACCAATTAAGATTTCACAATATTTTCGGTTCGAATAGGTATTTTCACTTTTTTCGTGTTATATCTTAATTTTGAACATAAAAGTTTCCAACAAATTGTATTCAAATATTTTTCAAGTGAAAAGAATCATACAAGATGTATGACTGTTGATTGTTTACACCAATTATAGCGAAATGAGTTTTGACAGTTCGAGCAAACATTAGATCTACTCGTAAAAGACATAAACGTACTAGATTTTTTTAACTCTGTATGTATTGCACAAATGTATACTGTACTTTTTTGTGGTAAAATTTCAAATTTCTAGTAATGCAGAAAATTACAATAAATTTACACAAAAAATTGCTAATAAAGGAATTTGCTTTTTTTTTATCAAAATATTGATGCAAAGATATATTAGTTGTATTGTGAAAATGGATAAAAGAAATGATGAAACATCATTTTTCACGAATCCAGAACCTTCCACATTGTAGTTGTGGCTAACAACGAATGCAAAGATGAAGTGGACAATTCACGATGAATTCACTTATATGTGACTGGGCACAGTGAGAACGAAGACGTATAAAGCTGGCTGCTGTGATCAAGTTAATTTCGTTCAGTTGTGAAATACCGTGAAAAATCCAGAAAATGGACTACAAAAGTAGTTATCATGGTTCGCACAATTTCATCAAATTGAAGGAACACATCCTTTCTCTGTCTGTGAATCAAAAAGATTTGGACAACATTAAGGGAGCCACGAGTACCAATATACGCAAACCGAACGAGGCGCTGATCAAATATGCCTTCGAAAAAGGCTATTTGTATGACAAAAAAGAATACGATTTTCTCCAAAGCATCCGAAAGAAACGCAATCTTTCCGAGAAACAAGTGCATTGGCTGGAAAAAATAAATCGACGAATTCTAGAACGGATTGTTGTAGATGTTTTACCCCGGTAATTCCATAATTAATATGATTCGTGCTTATTACAAAAATCTTATATATGAGATTTATTCAATATTTGTCATTATTCTTTATTTTGCAAAGCAACACCAGATATTTACACAATATGCCACAATATTTTGATATTTTAATAATATAACACAATGTGCTACAGTATTTTATAACTACTAATAGGAAAATATATAAATACAGATTTTTGTAGAAAATGCTACGAATAAAATACACCAAAACACAAATCTGCTTGTTTCATTCAAACGCATTATTTACTTGAAAGAACCCCTTTTAAAAAGTTCAAACAAACTTCATGGTATGCTTAAAACTCAAACCAAATGATGACAAAATGTCCATGTATGACAAAATCACGATAGCAACAAATAAGTGGAAATGCATTTTCGAAATGGAAACTCAATAATTTATTACTTAATTGCACTTTTACAAATCTGGGCATGTGAAACTCTTTCAAATCTGATAACAAATAAATGTTCACCACGGATACGACGTTCGGTTACAATAGACCCGCAAAAACCTTTCGTTTTCATATTGGCTATGATTTCTTTTGGCTTGTTTTCTTCAATGACCAGAATGTATGCTGTTCCGTTTGCTGTTAAAATGGTATCCATTGCATCGAAAACTCGATCCATAATGAGTCGGCCATCCGTGCCGCCAGCCCACGATTTAATAATATTGTCATTGAATGGATTATCGCTGGTCGAATCATATGAATCGATTTCTTCGTCTGGCGTAACGACGTAGGGTGGATTAAAAATCAGCACATCAACCACATTTGATCGAAAACCATTCAAAAGATTCATATTAATAACATTTAAATTGGCTCCGTTTTTGGCTGCCGTCCGTGTAGTAACATCACAAGCACGTGGATTTATGTCAATTGCAAAACATGCCGTTTGTGGTAGTGCCTTTGCTACAGCTGTAATGATAACACCACTGCCTGAACCAATTTCAGTACAAATGGCTGGCTGTTGTGATTGTAATTTTGACAAATCCGCCTCGAGAGCATCAAGCAATAGAAAACTATCTTCGGCTGGTTCGTAAACATATTTAAAATCTTCGGATGTGATATGAGTTAAGTATGGCGTTTCCATTTTGATGTTGAAATTTTAAAATAAATTAACTTATGACGTTGGAGTTGTTGGAGTGTCTGGACTGCTCAATTCACTGTCAAGTATCGAACGTCGTTTGAATTTTTCACGCTCGATTTGCTTGTGGAGTCTATTTAATCGATCCTGTTAAAGAGGCAAAAATCATTCAACAAAATGTTAAATTGAAAATCGAATAAAATTTGCTCACCTGAGCACCTTGAAGTATACTGTAAATAACGGTGACTTTATGCTTAACGTTTATCAACTTATGAACGTACGTATCAAATTCGGGGGATGTATGTTGAATATCTTCAATTGAACGCAATTGTGCTATCAAACTGTCCAATTGCTCTGATAGATCTTGTTGTGCCAGTCTAATGAATAAATCATATTCATATTTATAGCTTTTCTTTTGAACGAACGAAAAAAATGGCTAAAATTTCAAAAGACAATGACAAATATTTACCTTGTTGAACGAACTCGATCATCCAATTTATCAATAATTGGTTGAAATAAACTAACTATACCTTCGGCCAAATTATCACGTGTAGGATTATCGCATAAATTCTCTGTATTCTCATCCAATGACGTCAATGTACTGTCACTATCCTTTTCCATTATTTTTTTTTATTTCAAACGGAAAATGCGTTGGATTAGTGCGATTTATTTTTTGTCATGGAATGTATTTTACTATTTTCTCTATTCGGATTTGGAAAGACACAAGTTTATTTTGATACGAATGACATTTACTTTGACGACTCAGTTCACACTGAGAACCATCTATCGATTAGTTTTGACGGTGGTACTAGATTGATATTGTACGTTGTTTTCCATGTACAAACACGATTTTGTTTAAACGATAATTTTTCAATCGAAGGAGCTCTGTATCTTGTTCTTAGTGGAGATTAAATGAAAAAATTGGCAAACATCATCAAAAATAGTTCAGAAAATAAAAATTCAATTGCATCTGTCGATGTTGTGTTCGATCTATTGTAATTGAAATGAAATTGACAGGTTTCATATAGCAAAAAGCTTAATCACTTCACAAGGTTTTGATTTTCAAGCCGTCCGAATCTAAATTGTAAATGTCACATTTAGTATTGTGTTGCGATTTTTTTACACCTTCTTTTTCCCTTTCATTCGTGTAAACAAACGCGTTGTTTTCAGCTCATTGCTGTGTGAAAATGTGACGAAACAAATGTGGTGTTTGGGCAAAAAGTGCGAAATGATTCAACCGAGAGTTTTGTATCAATGAACGGACAAATATACATTCTCTGTTTTGTTCCACAGTCCCGTCGTGACATTTTGAATGTTTTGGTGCTCGTACATGTGAATCTGCTTTAGTGTGTACAACCGACCAATGTACAACGGAGAGAGAGATACTTTTGACTTGTGTTTCACATACCGTAATCAGTCGTCAGTTGGGTTTTGATAAGCGAAACAGTCTTGTATGCAGTCGACAGTGTGTAATTGACTGCAATTTTCATTCTCATTGTAAATACGATCAGAACGTACAACCTCCTTGTGATAAAAGAATGAGGTAGCAATTACTTGGTGGAATGAACAATAACATCAAAAGTGATAATAAAAGAAAATAAAAACATTCAGCCAAAGTTAGCTGTGTGATAAAAAAGCAAATTTATATTAGCTGAGTTTGTAATTCATAAAATACCTTGCAATAAAAGTGCATGACAATCGAGTGTGGCGCACAGTATTACAGAATCAATTGTTCCACTGTTAGACCCGATATACAAATATACACATCACGTCTTTCGGGATTTTCAAGGTAAACATGTTTCACTTGTTGAACAAATAGAAACGGTTTTTATCCGCCGCCGTCTCTCATGCAATTGTTTATTTTGATGCATTGTTGTCGTTTGCACTTTGATGGCATTTACTATTACAATGAAACGTTGTGCGAATTTGTGTGACAAATATTGTGTGGCAATCTACTGCAGAACATTTGTTTAATTAGTTTATCGTCGAATTGCTGTGCTGACTAACATCATTATGGCATCTATCTCTATTTATAAACAGGTTTTTATTATAAATTCTTGCCGGTTCTGTCATTTAACGTAAAACGTTGGAACTTCGTGAAATAGAATAAATTTGCAATATTAAAAATACAAATAAGTGTTTTTTCTCTTTGCTATCGTTATCTCTACAATTTTCTGCTTTTGTTTACGGTTCAATGCGAGCTTAAAGCAATACCGTATGATTCACTATTCACATTGTAAACTCAATTGTAAGTGAAATAAAACAAAAAAAATGATTAACCTTTATTGCTCTATCTTCTCGAATTGATGTTCCATGTTCCTTTCATGTCGAAATAAAATAAAATCAGACTAAAAGCGAAACTGTGACATTCGATACTTTAACGCTAACTAAATTGTTTTCAAACGAAAAAGAAAAAAATGGAGATTGTACTTGTTCATTCTTTGATGAATTCAAGTAAGAGATTTCGCACGGTTCAAGCTAATTTATTTAGTCTATTCATTGAACTAAATTGAAAAATCACCTTTGTTTGCTTATCGGCCCATTCAGATTGAACAAAGACAACCAAAATAATCGAAAACAAAATCTTGTTTGAAATTTCTGTAGATTGGAACGAATTCGCAGAAAAGAGTTTTTTTTTTTACTTATTGGGGCGTTTATTTCGATAATGATTTACGCCAAATCATCGTAATTGTCTCGGTAATTGTACAATATACGCATGACATTTTATGTGGGACCGTGGTGTAAAATGATTTTAAGTTCGTCCATACGATAGCTCGTGTATTTAGCAGACGTATGTGTTGAGTTAGATGTTGAATGCTGTATCGAAAATGCAAAATGTCTCAAATAAGCACAGTTGCTGTGAAACAGGTTTTGCATGGTTATTTCTTCGTCAATATAACTATTGGCATTAAATTAGGTGTGTGTGCGCGCACAAATTTAGTCTCATGCAGATATTGCATAACACTTTCGATATGGCTAATGTGCTATGGATTTCCCTTTCATTTGATTTTCGCTTATTACGCTGTAGTTCAATTTTCATTTCACGCAACATGAGCTGAAATGGTGTTACATTCAACATATACAACGAAGATTATAATCAATCGTTATAAATATAATAAAATGGAACTCAAATGCGATAATTTTATTGTAACAATGGCCACCGGTTGAAGAGCGATAAGATGCCCATTTGTTCAAAAAAATATTTAAAGTGATAAGCCACACTTATTCGTTTATGCTCAGGTAACAACAAACCAATTCTTACTGTTAGACTGATAGAAAATTGATATTTTTACAGAAAAATAGAGCATTGACATTTATTGCATATTAAATACTTGAAGACTGATAAATATATTGATAGCGATATCAAGGTGCTTCAATTTAGAAAGAAAATGAAAAAAAATTGAAAGCGATTCTGATAAATGAGTGTAATGTTGGCTATTGTTCACTCTCTTCCACGCACAAAAATAAAAAATATTGATTCAGTTGCAAAGCGGCATTTCAACAGGCAATTTCGTAAGTCTCGGGTCTACTGCAATATTTTGTAGGCTATATTAAAGCTCAGTTTTGCGTATATTTTGGAACAAAATAAATTTTACACAGAAATACAAACAATTTTTATCATCGTATTCATAAATTCTTTACTTTTTTTAAAAATAAGATGCGCGATGCTTTCATATTCAGAAAAAAACTCTATCAAGATATCACATTACAAATGTTTATCATTACAAATATTTTAATTGCATTTTATCAATGAGATTGTAATCATGTAAAAGCGGATTTAAAGTTAATTTTTTTAACGTGAATAGTGTTCAAATAACTTGAAATAATCATATATACGTCACACAAATTTGAGTACGCCAATCACGCGGTTACATGCACTCATCACTTTTTTTCAATCGAAAACCAAACTAACGGAATTTATGGTTGCGTGTTTGATTATTATGTGAATGTTGATGAGTTTGTTTATCAAAGAACCATATCAGGCTGTGAACAATTCAATAATTCAAATAAACGATTGTATTAAAATTATATTTTAAATTGAAAGACTAATCCATTTGTTTTCTCAGTCCAGATAAAACCAGTTAGTGTGTACTTCTTGTAAAAAATTAAAATGGAAACGATGTGTGGTGATTGCAATGATTCATCTAGAGGCTCTTGCTCTTGCGGTTGCGAAAGTGGCGGCTGTGGTATGGAAATGACATTTTTTTGGTCGGCCGAATTGAAGAATTTTTTCTTCAAGGCATTGAAAATAGACAATGTTGGAGCATTCTTACTTACATGCTTAGTGTTTGCACTGTTATCTATTCTGTATGAAGGAATTAAAGTTAGTATATTGATAAAAGATTAACTACCACTTGAAAACATTTCACGCAATTCCTATGTCTAATTACAGGTGTATACTGCTTATGCGCGTGCCAAAGTGGCGCGTGAACAAATTGCGGCCGTTTCGTGTGCACCAAGTGAATCGGCAAATTTATTAGTTACCGAACCGAATTCAAATTTTTTTTCGGGGCGCTTTTTCCGAATGATCAACGAAACAATGGTCTTCCTTTTCCACAATACGCTCGGCTATGTTGTGATGTTGGCCGTTATGTGTTATAATGGTTGGGTATTTTTGGCTGTTGTGCTCAGCATGGGATTGGGGTACTTCTTCTTTGGTCATATTGCAATCAAAATCAATATGGAAAGTATTCAAGCACGAACAAGAAAAGTAGTATGCACACCAGTTTGTTCACAGGCATGTGCCGAGGCCGGCGTTAGCGGAGTTCGTAAGTGATTTTCGAATTAAAGCGTAATATTGTTCTTTTTAAATCTGTTTTCCAATTGCAGAGAACCAAAACACATCACCATGCCCAAGCGCTCCACAGATGAGTTATTCAAAAACAGTGTCAACTTGCCATGAAAATCAAGCGATGAGTGAAGCAAAATCGAAAAATGGCACTTGCTACGATGAAAAATCGTCGAATGTCAACGATGACGTCGATGAAAATTGCGATTGCCGTCTATAGCGCATTTGATTTTTTGCTTTTTAGCATGATTTGATATTAAAGAAAAATGCAATAGAAGAACAATTTTGAGATTGTAACAAAAAAAAATTCGATGATGTGATTCAATTCATTGCTCAATTTATTTTGTTAGATGTTTAAGAATGTTGTTAAAAAAATTAAAGACAAATGAGAAGAAACCTGTGCGACAGATTTTCCTAATAAAAGAATAAATATTTCAAATAAATGTTATGTCCGGTGCATTCATTACACAGATCTAGTACTGCATTTTTCACTCGAACGCCAAAATTTGTACTAAATGTACGAAAAAATGGCGCCAAAATTAAGTGTCAGTTTAGTAAAAACAAAAAAGTCAACAGATTTATACATGCAAGCTGAATTGGTTGCATGCAAAAAGGACAATTTTTAAATATTTTCTATTGTTTGTGGTTTGGTTTGTAAACTTTCAAAAAAATGTATCGAGGAAAACGATATCGAATTGGTTCTAGTGCCGTCAAGAAGTCAGTTTCAACCACAAGTACATTGTCTACAGTGTCTGAGAATACCAGTTTGCTGTCTTCATTGTCGACGGTAACAAATCCGAGAATAACATCAACTCCAAATGAATCGGTCGCTGGCCCCAGTAATATTTTGAAGGAATGCAACAATTTACCATCCAGCCAATCGTCAGCGTCACAAAATCAGCCAGCCATCATATCGAACGATGACGATTTTGTTGTGCCAACCAGTCAAGTGATGCAACCCAGTCGGTACATATCACAGCGAAGTGCCCTGCTACGATCACAAATATCGTACACACAACAGACTCCAATGTCGTATTTTGAAAGTGTCCTGCATCGTTGCGGAGTTATGTTATCAGATCGAAATTCCGATGTCAGTTTAAAATTGAATTGTGATCATTTGAAATTTGTGATACGTTTGCGGCGAGAGCTCACATCACATCCAAAGTATCCGGAAAATGTACAAACATTTCTTTCCGGTTTACTTGACGTTATGAAAAATTCCAATCAAATGACCAAAATTTTGAGCAGTTGCATTGTAAGCCTTTTTATTTTGCTCAATTGTATCGTCCTCTTTTACATTTTCATTCATTTGCACAGATCACATTGCCAAATTCGGATCTAACAAAAACATCAACGGAAAGTGTGATGAACGATTTTCTGATGATTCAATTTATGCAAAAGGATATCATTGAAATTCTTATGCGTAAAATAAAGGCATTGGCGATTGAAGAGTAAGCACATATTATTTCATCCGTTACTAAGTTAAAAACCATCCACTCATCCAATTTCAGAACGAATGCATCGAATATGGAAATCGAACTTTTACTGGCTCAATTGAAATTCGTAGATCACTTATCGCACGGTGATTTTGTTTGCACGGAAATTTTTGACGCCCTCGAAACTGCATCAACTGACGCACGCCGTACAATTATTAAAAGCCTTGAGGATATTGTCGATTTAACTCGACACAATGATGTCATTGAAAAATTGATGCAGCTTCTTCCGAAAGATGCCGACTTATTAAACGAAGAAACGATCGACACATTCGGAAATCTGTGCTTGAATCCGAGCACACATTCTCAAATATGCCAGAAAATTATACGGTATATCAAGAATAATGCCCCAAATGACGTAAGTCTTCCTCATGCATTGCACTGAGATAGTAATTTGTTGAGCTCATGAACCACATGACTAAAACTATCTCAGTACAAGATCGCTTTCTTCTAATATAGTCCGGTATGTCAAATATATTTTCACAAATAAAAATTGAATTTCTTCCGTGTCAGTTGCTGCCGTGTTTCACAAAGTTCATCCTTAAATTTAGTACGGAAGATGCGGTACAGTTACGTGAATTAATTGAAAATTTGCGATTGTGTTTACGGTGGCCGGAGGAATTGCCGACAACACGTGCAAATATTCAGAAAAACCAACGTGACGTTTTTGGGTGTATATCACGTACATTGATACGATCGAAGCAGCTATTTGACGTTTGGTTAAAATTGATTCAATCTAATACTGAACGGTACAAACCAATTGATTTAATAATTTTACTAATGATGACGACAATTAACGATGAAAAAAGTGTGGCTATTGAAAATATTGTAAGCATTTTTGTTGTTTTTTTTTAATTTCATTGATTAACGAAGTTTTCCATTTCAACAGATTCGACGAAAGCTCAAAGCAGATATTATTGATGTTAAATTGCTCGAGGAAACTATACGCATATTGCCGATCATTTTGCTTGATTATTCAAAAGTTCTGTTTGAGTTGCTGGACAGTTTTGTGCGTGATAAAAATACAGTGATTTCAAATTTTGCAAATGTCGGCTACCGGTAAATAATTTTTTTTCTATATCTAAACCAGTAGTGTGCGGTGGTGGAGGGGAGGGTACTTTAAACTTTTTTTTGTAGAATTACTAAATTGAAATAAGAAATATTCCAGGCTCATATTTGGCATTGAAACGTGTGATCGTAAAGTATTGCTCTCACGTTTGGTTGGTTTTGTCTGTGAAAGAAACGCGCAAGCAATGGTATTGGCCGATTCCGGAATTGCGGCAAATAAATCCGCCACTCAAACGGATCTCACAACCAGTGCACTGATGATCTTGAGTGAAATCAATCGAAAGTATCCGTCTGAAATGAAATTTAATGGCCTTCAAATGCTGGTAGATATACAATACCTAATCAAATACGCATCTTTTCACATTATAAAATAACAAATTTTGCAGCGCTTAATTGATCATTCGAGTGACTTTTCATTGGGCCAATTTCGTCTCGTAATGAATATAATCTGTTCGATTGCGTACAGTGATCCGCCGTGTGAAGAGCTCAAGGATTTGATCGATATGATGGTGAAGAAGCAAGTGTCAAGTAGTATTAAAAACGTAAAAAATCGAGGAATTATTGGTGTCGTTCGGGTTATCGATAATATGGTGTGGGAACGGAAAGGAGATTCAGGATCCGATGATTTGAACTCTTCATACAGTACAATTGAATCACTTCCAACGAGATTGTCAAAGGTTGCTGCAAATTATATTGGTAAGTGTATCGGAATAGAAATGTGAAGTGTTTTCTCAATACTGATTCATTTTCAGAATTGGCTATAACATCATCGCAAAGTTGTCCACAACATTTGGCATTGTTCTTTGACGAATTGGCAAGCGTATTTGTGGATCGTAATCATGAACGATTGAATCATCAAATAAACCGGCCATTTTTGACTTGGCTAATGGGTTTGGTGACCGGATATTTCGAAAATAATTTCATAATTGATCAATCACCCGCATCGTCTGCACAATGGGACTTACAAATCATTCGCGCACTCAATACCGATGAAGAAATGGAACAAACTGAAACGGACACAAAAATAACAATTGCAATTGATATTGCGGGCACTCTTTTGAATCCAAGTGGAAGGTAAATGTTTGTGTTTAAATCGATTTGAAATGAGCTGCTCAAATAAAACAATTTTTTTTTTCTCGCAGTGCTTTGAATTCGGTTACGATTCTCGCGTCTTTATTCAATTTGATGCGTGTGCTATATTTTCGGCGATACGATGGCAATTTGTCTTTGATTAATGCAATTGTGGGAGCTGGTATTGTTCTACCGCAGAGCATGGATCCAATCGAAAATGTGGATATTTTTGATGAATTCGATGACGATCGAGCGCGTCGTGTACTAGACATGTATTTTTACACGGTAAATGTGTTTCGTGAGTGTGTGAGTGCGTACACAAGTCAACAAAATATGCGACAAAAAGTGCTAACACGTCTATCAGAAATACTTGAATGGGAACAAAAAATCAAAGAAACTTTGGCTTTTGCACCAGATGATTACGTTCCACCGACATGCATTTTCCTGACCGAATCATCGGTGTCACGCAGTAGTATGTCACGATTCAAGCGGCCGGGTGCAAAACGAACCACAGCTAAGAAAAAGAAGGCCATTTCAAAAACACAAACCAGCCAACTTCCAAGCACGGCCAATGAAACGGTCACTGACACCGCTGTTGATGCTACCATACAACCATCGGCCCGAGCGATGTCAACAAAACGATCGAACGACTGGAGTCTTAATTTGAACGAATTTTTGCGGTGCATGGATCCGGATGTGTTGGTTTTGTTTGAAGAAAATCTCGTTATGAAATATCCACTGCCGCGTGAATTCGTTGGTAAATCGTTGGGATTGATCGAGTTCAAGTATGTCTGAACATTTTAATTTTTTTTCTTCTTCTAAAACATTATTAAAATACAATTTTCAATCAGGTTTCTTTTGGAAGACTTGACGCAAAAAATTGAAAGCATTTTTGGCGTAAGAAAATTCAGTAATACAGTGGAAACGTGTCAAAGCATTGCATTTCCGGCCGAATTCATTTCGGATGTCGTTGATGTATTGCCACGAATCCTGAGCCACTTCGATCAAGTCGCCAAACAGCTTAAAGAAATCATTAAAAGCTCAGAAGTTACAGAAAATAATGATGATGATGACACCGAATCCGAATCAATTTCCGAAAAACTATTCAGCGATGAAGCAAATATGATTAAAGTTTGTTTTGGCTTATGCATTCGTTTGGTGGCCGCTTTATTCACTTGGCCCGAATTCTCTGATGATGCCAACAAAGATACACTGAAAAGTAAGCGATTGAAAGAAAAACAAGAGAAAACCTTCAATTCATCGTGATTAATTTCGTTTTCAGGAGCATTGAAAGCGGTTATTGGTGAAGCTGCTGTAGAGCAAGACAACATTAGTGAAATGGCTTTGGCAGCAGTAATAAATATCACCAAAAGCGCCGATGTTGCGGTTGATTTACATTCAGCCGTTTACATGTTTCATTTTGCACAAGCGGTTATTAAACATACAGATGCTAAGGATGCTTATCACACTCATGTTGGTAAGAAACTATAGACGATCTCAACGAAAAAAAACATATTTGTATTTTAAAATGGTATTTTTGTATTATAGTTACACTTTGCAAAGGATTTTTATCACGAAAATGGTATTCGTTTGAAGGACGCGAAATGCAAGGTGGAGAATATAATTCACTTTTGGAACAGCTGTTGAAGGGTTACATAAAAGATGCAAAATTCTCATTCATTCGATCAAACTTGCAGTGGATCGAAACTGAAATAAACGATTTAAAAACAAAAGGCGGATCACTAATCACATTCCCCTGCATCAAAATGTAAGAAAAATATGTCTTACGAGTTGATTTGAATTTATTCATTAAAATATCTCTTTATGTTCTTTATCCCTTTATGTTATTCTCGGACATAAGTGTGAACTATCCAACATTTTATCGTGAAATATTTACGGCTCTGATTGATTCGATGCACCGAAAACTGGATAAAAATGCTCAATCATCGAATCAGCTCAAGCATTGGGACAGTTCTATCAGGATAATCGACAAACTCCTCAACATTGCCAAATTGGTTGATCTTTCTCGTGTCTTTTTCTATTACTTGAAGGTAAAACGAGTTTATTCAATTGAGAGACCATTTGATTGGAGTAATTGAAATTATTTTTCAGAACACACATTCGTACATTAAACTATTTCTACAACATGGAATGACGACCATCGAGGCAACGCTGCGCAGAAAAGTTGACGAAAGTGTAACTTTTTTGCAGTCATTACAAAAGTCCACGCGATTCTTGCATACCTTATGCTGCCATTCAAAAGTATTTTATTTTTTTTATTTTTAACTGTCATATTCGTTATTAATTCGATTGGACATTTCATTACAGACCATAAAAGACACAGCAATCATTGCATTAATTCCGACATTACGTGAAACTAATTCGCAGCTGGTTTATAAGGTAGAAGCTGCATTGGCCGCAAACAAGTGTTTAAACAATCAAACTTATTGGTGTGGAAATTTGAAGAACAAAGATATATATAATGAAGACATATTGTCACAGGTATTTAACGTATTCTTTATGCTTGTTTGAAAAGTACAATGCTTCTAAGATTGTAATGTCGATTTTTGCACATCAGGCAACATCAATTACTCGCAGCACCTTGAGTGGTGACAACGAAAGCCGGCCCTCAACCAGCTCGGGCGAATCAAGCAGAAAATCCGCAAGTCAAAAGGCAAAGCCAAGAAAACGCAAACTACGATCAATTGGTGAAGAATACGAAGAGGCAGAAGGCGAAAGTTCAACGAAGGAACGATCGCGTAGCCGTTGCTTTTAAGATTTCATTTCAATAATAAGAACGATAAAAAATTGACCATTTTTGAATGTTATTTGTTGTAATGTTCTTGAATGTTATTCTTTATTTCATTAAATATACATAATTTTGACAATTTATTTTCAATATTTATATATAGATTGCAATTTGAGTTAATTTTTATTCATTTATTTTTTTAAATTATACTTTGATTTTATTGAAAACTGTCATCGAATAAATTACCGAGCATCGCTGAAACATCTTGAGGTTTATATTTAACGTATTTTTCGGGATTTTTGCTAAATTGAACATCAGCGTACGACTCAAAGAAGGCATTGTATTGTGGAATGATATTCTCTGAATTGTCACGTTTTAAGCCTTCGCGTAAAATGACATCGGGCACTGAAATGGCTCGTTGAATCTTACATGCCTCCTCAAGTTCTTTATTGAAACCAGAAAATCGTTCTTTCAAAATAGATCGTTCTTTGTCTTTAACGCGTCCATTGACCGGTCTGGGTAGATCTTCCAACGGCGAAATCATCGATATCAATCGTGCCCATGATCGTTGATATGAACCATGAAGCTCTTGTATCAATTCCATATAATTTCGTTCACACTCTGGTTCGGTCATCAGCAATAGTTCAAGCACATTTGATCGTTGTAATGATTTTAAAATGTAATGAATGTTATTCAAACGGAACAGTTGACGGGTGGCATAGTCTCCATATTGTTCGCATTTCGATACAATTGTCAAATTCAATTCGGAAAGTACTCGTTTCACATACAAACCAACAAATATTTTGACGCGTGCATCTGTCGACACCGATTTGTTCGTACACAATGAATCCAATTGTTGAACATAGAACGAATCTTGGCATAATAAATCGGAAATAACACCACAATGCTCGAGTAAATGTTCCAAATACCAAATTGCATTTGACGTTAATTCATGAACGGTGGCATCTTTTGGAACATTTGAAGATAATGTGCTTGCACTCATGCCAACCAAATTCGAACCAGAATCACTTTTAACAAATTCCAAAAATTGATCCAACGCTTTTATACCAGTTTGTTGCAATTTCAGCAGAATTAAATTGATTTGTTGGCGTTGATTCACATCGCATGCACGTTCAATGTCCGGCTGTAGCAATTGAAAATGACGTAGAGCCGAGAAAATTTCCAACGATGAAGACCATCGTTTACGTTGAATATTTCGCATTGCTTTGCCCGTAATACCTTCGGCATCTTTAACCACCATTTCAATTGAACTTTGTGCCAATCTGGAGAATAAATCGTTATGCCGTGTTTTCGGGATGACTTCAGCCATTAATGTGCGCTCCCATATAAAAAGTCGCTGCAAACCCAATAATAACACCAAATATTTGTCCAATTCCTGATCACGATCGCCAATTATATCAACATGAGCATTATGATCAGTGTTTGTGGATTTTTTTAATGAAATTCCAGTGGATTGTTCGAGTGTTTGTGATGCTTTCATTAGCATTTTGTTCGCTTTACGCTCGAGTAAATGTTGTATACGTGTTGATGTGGTTTTTCGTGTTTGTTCCACTTTCACCGGACCCGTAGCATATGTACCTAAGGGCAGAATCACAAAAGAAAAGAATTAATTGGAAATAATCGATAAGTAATCGACAAATAATCGAAATAATCGAAAAAGAATCAATAACAATTATTAAATAATAGAAAGGTAATTTTTAAGTGAATTGCCCCTAGTATGTACCCCGTGTACGTGATGATTCATTCTCCCAACTTCCGGTGCGTTGATGATCTTTTAGCAATTGCAACGAACGAAATACAACTTGTGACCGTTCGGCTGCATAAATATCAATATAGTCGCGTCGTAAATTATATTCCAACCAATTTGATATGGTGTTTAGCTCTTCGCGTGTACTTTGTGTCATTTGCTTAATTGATGTACAATCTTCATTTGATGAATCCTCTTCGATGTAAATCAAATCAAGCAAATCAACCGGTTTTAAAACCGTACTGTACTTTTTCAGCAATGCTTTGTAATGATTTTCCAACGTTGTGCACCCGGTATTGAAGAGACTCGTTACATTTTCCAATTCAACACTTTGCGGATTGTAATTGAGAAAGTAGTCCTTGGCCCGTTTCAATTTATCCAAACCAGTAAGAAAATCGGCAACATCACCTTCGGATGGGCCCAAATGAATTAAATTACATTGCTCTTGTGATGCTTCGTAGTGCGATAGTACATTTTCCAGGCACTGTAGTGTGGACTGTAAATTCTTTTGACGCTTCTGTAAATGCTCCGTTTGATTGTATACGGGCAATATTGTTTGCTCCAATTTTCCCAAGCGTTGTTCAAATTTTGTCAGAATTGTTGACATTGATGTGGACAAATCATGGTATTTATCTACATGATCTTTTAATTGTGATAAATTACCACTCTCTTGTTCCAATTTCGATTCGATTTGTGTGGGATTTTCTAAATTCATCGCGTTTAAACGAACAAAAAACTGAATTTATCAGTGGATTTCACATAAATTCCACTTGATTTCAAAAATTTCAATTGCACACGGAATATGAGCTTTTTCTTTTTCACAAATGAAATTGTATCTTTTTTTCTCTCTTGTTTTTAATGAAATGGAATTTTGTTATTGTCATCAAGTGACAAGATATGCATATATTTGTTTGACATTTTATGAACGTAAATGAAGTACTGGATCACATGATGTGTGTACTAAAATAGTGGCAAATGTCATCTGTCAATGGAAAGCCGAAATCAAAGTAATTTTTAATAATAATAGTATCTATCCAATTAACTAATTGAAATTTGCCAAATCACTGTCGATCAACGGCAATTAAAATTAGATTTATTGGTGCCACTTATACTTGAATATGTCGACATCGAAAAAATTTCACAGCAGTATTTTTCATCCAACTTTGCGGAAATGGCAAGAGCCAAATGTTAACATCGAACCGGAAAATTTAATGTATCCACTGTTTTTGATGTAAGTTCATTTCTTTACATTTAAAATCCATCCAAAGGAAAAAAGTGGCATTAATATATTCGAATTTTGGCCATTTTCAGAGAAAAAGACGATGTAATTGAGGAAATTCCGAGTATGCCGGGTGTGTCACGGTTTGGAGTCAATCAATTGATTAAGCATTTGGAGCCATTGATCAAAAAGGGACTTAAGACAGTTTTACTCTTTGGGGTTATTGAAACATTGCCTAAAGTAAGATTTTTTCTTTATATTTCATTGGATTTAAAAACTCTCATTTCAAAAAAAAGAACCATTCCCATTACAGGATAGTAATGGCAGTTCGGCAGATTCGACCGAAAATCCAGTAATTCGTGCATTACCATTGCTTCGAAAGAACTTTCCCGATTTGGTGATAGCGACTGATGTTTGCCTGTGCCCGTACACAAATCATGGACACTGTGGTATATTCGATGAAGAAGGTCACATGGATAATGACCAGAGCATTCAACGCTTAGCTCAAATTTCGTTGGCATATGCTCAGGCCGGTGCACATATAATCGCTCCTTCCGACATGATGGATAACAGAATCCGTGCGATCAAGGAAATTCTACGTAATTATCGCTTAGAAAGTCGAGTTGCCGTTTTATCTTATGCGGTAAAATTTGCATCTTCTTTCTATGGTCCATTCCGAGACGCGGCACGTTCAGCCCCTGCCTACGGAGATCGTAAATGCTATCAATTACCGCTTGGTTCCAAGGGTATTGCTGCGAGAGCTGCTGTTAGTATATGTTGTTTTATTATAAAATAAAAGAAATAGAATTAATTTGACATTTTTCATTCTAGGAACGTGACGTTGAAGAAGGTGCTGATATGCTAATGGTGAAACCTGGTATGGCTTATTTGGATATTGTTCGCCAAACAAAAGATATGTTTCCAAATATTCCATTGTTCATTTACCAAGTATCGGGTGAATACGCTATGTTATGGCATGGTGCCAAAAATGGGGCCTTCAACTTGAATGCCATTGTCATGGAAGCGCTGACGTCGATGCGTCGTGCAGGTGAATATTTTCCGCTAACCAACAATATTTCGTATTGTTTTTAACTAAACGTGTATCGATTCATTTGCAGGCGCCGATGTTTTAATCACATACTATACACCACTTGTGCTGGATTTAATTCAGAAGCAATAAAATTGTGAGAGATATAATTGAAAATTATCATTTTTATGGTGCTGGTATAAAGTTGTTTAAATGTTGCAGAACTTTGGGAGATTTTAGAAACAAATTTTATAAGAAAAAAAAAATAAAAATATAAAAATAACAACATTTTTGAAAGATACACGCTTTTATACGAATCTCAAATGTATGTGTTTTATTATCTTTTGTACTATAAACATTTGCTTGAGATAATAAAACAATCAAAGATCAAAGTTATTTGATGAAAATTCCGTACTACTATCAGTTTCGATGTGTACGTCTAATACTTAATGGTCCAAAAGTACTAAAGTTCAACATTCGAGTTATGTATTTTGGATGGCAAACGACCTTCAAGAATCCTTCTAAATATTTCCATGCGCTATTTTCCATCTACAGTTTTTTACTGGTTATCGCAACCAATAATTCGAGCTCTTATGAAATGGCATTTGATGGCAACAATTTAGTAATTTATATTCATCACATGAAATGTTGAATATTTAACCGTTTGATCCATGCTTTCAACGCAGATAATGTCAAACTGTAAATTATTTGTGTACAATGTCAATATTGACTTTATACAGCATATAGCGCCAGTGAGTTTTTTTTCTTTATCGCTCACATGAGCGAGTTAAACAGGATCAACTAACAAAACGTGATAAAAACAAAAACCATATGACTATACTGTTTAGAATTTGGATCGATTGAAATGTGTGCATTCCATAACATTATATATCAGCTGTGTCATGTTGCTGCTCAGTACATTAGAGATTTCATACGTACAAATACAGCATTGTATCTTTTAGCATCCAAACTGAACACAACACACAATGTTAGAAACTACACGCGCATATATACCAATGCACAGTAATAAATCGAACATTGGTGCTGTTTATCCATAATTGTGTATCGCACACCAATACACCTGACGTTTTCTTAACCTATACGACTGTGTCGACGCTGTTCGACCACACGCACACTTTCAACACAAAACAAAAACATAAACATGAACAGACTTGATTTGGTTCAGTATTCATCAAGACTCGTTTGCAACTAGGCGTATTTGTACGGTTCGCTTTTGCAAACAGTTCAATACAGTTCAGTTTCAGCAGTCGACTGGTACGAAAAATGTGACTGTTTTCATTTTGCACATTTATTCATTTACTCGAAATGGAAATAAAAAAAAAATAGTGGAAAAAAAGTGTTATCTACTTTCGCGTTTTGCTTGAGCGAAAATCCATTTTAAAAATTGTGTTGCCTGTGTTTCGGCATTGTCAAAAAGATTTATTTTCCACAAAATTAATTCTTGCATGATCGAAATTATTATTGCACAAATGAGCACAAATTGTACAATTTAAAAATGGATTTTCGACAAGCAAAAACAAAATAGACTATTTTTATATGGAATTGTTCATTGAATGTATGAATATGAAAGCGAAATGGAAGTGAAACCAACAACATCATTTGTGTAATTTCAGCATTCACAGCGACAGCATATAGATAAATAAACGCTCAAAAAAAACAAACAAACAAATAATCGCATGTTAAGTAGTGAAATGTTTTTCTTGAATCGGCTGTGTGGAGTTAGATAAAAATGTTGATGCAGTTATTTGCATCGATGGCCAAACCGTGCAATTCAAATAATAATCTACGCAATAATACGTCATTGAAAACAACTTTATTATTTCATTAAAGTGCGTTCATTCCAAATACAGTTTGACTTTGAAATCAATTTTTTGCCAAAATCGAACAAGTTTTCAGTTTATTTTGTATCAAATTCAAAGCACGAAATCGTACAAATTCGATTGTTGATTTCGCGGAATGTGACTTTTGATAGACAAACATATACATTCGCTGCACAAAAACTACTCCGAACATTTTTTGTAAACGTTTTCATCAATCACAACAAAGGCGTTTATTTTTTTGAATTTTTTATTGTTATTCAGGTAAGTCAAGAAACAAGTTTTATTTGACCATTGTCGTGCTTGTCGCATCTATTTTTATACGTACGATAATTGCTAACCATTGAATGTAAGAAAACCACAACATTTGTTTACACCGATGGTTCATCGTATTTTGTGATTCTCCAAGGTAATTTTTCGGGGAATATTGTTTTACTTTATGGCACTTCGGGGCGATTACATGTCAAAATTAGTAACTACTTGAAGGTCATCCGTTTGTACGTTTTGAAGCAACAAGTACATTTTGTTTCTGATATATAAATGATGATGTTTCGATATATTCTGATAAATTTTATGTCAAGAACAACTCATACTAAAATCTATGCTTTATCGAACCTAACGATCATTAAGCCAATTCCATCGCATCACATTCAAATGTGTATATATTTTTATGTTGTTTGCATAGCATTTTGGATATAATCGTATTGATTGTGTAAAAACTAACAGTTAATGGTTCCCGCCGGGCGGCAATGTTAGTGAAAGCGTGCCACCGGTTTGACTATAAAGCAATTGGTTTACGGCGCATAAAAAAGGCGATCGCATATCTCTATCGATAAAATATCACTTTTTAACCGATAGCCAGAGACAAGCGTCAAACTAACAACGCAAATGAAATTGAATGACGTAATCGCAATATCGCCGAATTCAATTAAAACAAAGAAGAAAAAAACAGAATCGAATTCATTGAATATCGTTTTAATTTCTTCTTAGAAATGAATATTCAAGTTACTGCAGTAAATAAATGAGTTTATTACAATGGAAATTTCGTCTTCAGAATTTTGAGCAGATCTCAATTTTTTTTCGTTTCACTTTTTTTCAAGTGAGCGGATACATTTGTTAGCATTGAAGAAACGTGGCGAGATAAATTAAACGCAAAGATAGATCACATATCATAGATGAGTGAATACGATGTTTTGTTCATGTCGATTCAATATGCGTTAGTTTGATTGGTCGTAAAGTTAGAATTCAAGTTTAAATAATGGCCCGTGTCAATTTGTCATTTTTCAGTTTAGCTCATAGATACAAATGCGTTCCATCTCGTCAAACATATTGCGAACTCGTCTATTGGGAATAACATTTTAAGAACTTTATTGGCTGGTACAAAATGAAGCTACAAATATAACCATTCATAATAATCAAATTCAAACGCTGCCGGTCACAAGTTTATTGGACTAATTAATAAGTTAAGGTCATACGTTACGTTACCTCTTTCCGTTTACTATTTACACTAAGGTAAACTATTCACGCGTAGCGATGACCTTCAGACAATGGAAAAAGAAATGTATATATTTGGTGAACTTTCACAATGAAAGTGATTTTTGTCGTTTCGATTTTTTCTATTTACATCACAAATTATTACGAGAAAATCAAGTAAAACCATTTGAATGCCGTGTACGGTCATTGGGTGGATTGACTTTATTTGGTGTCAAGTGCAGAAACGAAGCTTTATTAATTACAATCATAGAACTTTACCTTATCAATGTTAAACAAGTGTATTACCCTATCGTGCTTGTGATTGCGATCAGCGAGTTTTTGTTAACTTACAATTTTGAGCACTTACGGTAAAGTTCGAAAGAAAAGCATTTTTATGTATTCCGATATTTAATGAAGACAAATGAAGCGATAAAATGTTATTGCAATTAACGTTCTTTTGTAACATCTGTCACTTAAATTGAGATGAATAATATGGCTTGATTTTTGGTTGGACCACAATTGGAATTCCGCCTAGATAACAGCCGATCTGAGCTAATTCACACCAGTTTTACATTTATCAAATTTGCTTTAAAAGAAACGGTTTTTGAAGAATTTGCCCAAATTTGCTCATTGCCACCAGCCATTGTTTGGGAATTAGTGCCGGAAAAGACGATAATTCCATTATGTCACACAATACCCATGATAAATTTGGCATAGCTCGTTATCGTATTTTTGCGAATAGCAACAAAATGATTTCGAGTACAGTGCAAACTTTTTTATCCGTCGAGAAATCATGTATATGGAACCGACTTCCTGACTAATGATAAAAAAATGGATAAAATGAATTCAGAACATTTCATGGCTGTAACTGACTTTTCTCTCAAATCAATATGGAAGTTAAATATTGAAAGTGATCCTTAAAATTCTAATTTGAAGACAGACTTGAATTATCCAGGTTCAACTCTAGTGAAAAAAGCGTATACAATTCAAATTTAGATTAATATTTATTCATCGATGACAATAGTTGTTCAAAGTCAGACACGTCTTGAATAAATGATTGTCAAGTGAATTTGAAGCCATTGTTGCACCCACTTGAGAGAATTTATAGAAAAAAATTATCTCAATAAATACCTAATAAACCAAAATTGGCCTAAAGAATTACGCTCAAATTCAATTTCAACTTGACTACGAATTGCTTCACTTCAACACACCATATTCCATTGACCGTATTAACTATTCACACTTCATCCAATTGAATGTGTAATGCATCACATACTATATTTGAGTTTTTCCACGCAACGCAATCGATAAAAAAACACGAAGGGAATATGCCATGCTATACACAATGCATGCGGCAATTGCTTGATTATGTGTATACACGTTACTATATTGTTTATGGTGTGTTCATTCAAAATATAGGCCAGAAACGTGCATTTCATTTGCAATTGTATGGTGAGTGACGAGCGCACGGAAATCGAGCGGGAGAAAATCGAAAATGTTTACTAGTGTTTTTGCTATGCTACAACGAGTTCATTCACCCACAGGATCGATGGTCTACATGCGCTAAACGAGGCGCATGTGATATTCTTAGCCAAAAAATGCCTTCATTTGATGCTAATTTCGGTGTAGTAATAGTGAGTCTTATCCATGTGGAATGTAGTATTGATTACTTGCAACGTGCCACGATTGACAGTTGTTTGTGTCCTTTCGTATTCATGGTGATTGGTTTGGTATAAATTAGGACACCGACATAATTAAATATATGTTGCACGTAGAATCAAACGCTAATGTAATAAAACAAAATTAGAACAGCAAAAAAAGCTTCAGCTACTTTGTCATATAAATCGAAACTATTTGCTTTCACTTCAAATGACTATCATTCTGTTTATGGATTATAAAAAATTTACAACCGCGACTACTTCTAATGCATTGTTCCATTAGATAGTGTCAAACCGAATGAGTGTCAGTTAACAATAGAAAATGTCCGTACAGCAGTAACTATGTCATTTTGAATAACGATTTCGCGTAATTCATTGAATACACTTTGCATGTAATCGATCTGTCTGTTTTGAATTTCAATATAAATATCAGCATATAAATAAATTCAATAAACATCTCTACAAACAGTATTGATTACGACGTCACAAGTAATCGAATAAAAAATATTTTGAATGATAAAAATATCGTCACATGAATATGTTTTGAGCTACTGAAAAAAACTGCGATTGTACATATTATATTGTGAACGTTATTTGCTCCGTTGGATTTGCATAAGATAAGAACCATATTCTTCTTATTAGATGCAAACGATTGATTTAATGATTCATGAACTAATTGAACAATGGACACCTATTTAAAACAGTGCTCCGAAAATTGTCCATTCAAAAATGACACAGTAAATTGTTTATTCAATAATGATTCACTGTGACCAAAGACGTTGTCGAAGCACATCTTTGTCTATGAATTGAAATATTTGAGTGTTTGAAGCACTGTTTTAAATAGGCGTTCAAGCGGTAATTCGAATTAATAAATTTATAGTTTGCATCTAGACGGCATCAGTAAGTCAATTACTTTATTTCTCCAAATACATTTTTCCAAAAATTTCAATTTAGAGTTATTTCGCATAATTAACGGAAAATTTGATGCAAATACCCCCGTGTTGTGAGAATCTATGTATGTGAAGTGTGTATTTTGTAATGAAATTACAATTTCGTGTGTTATTAAATAGAATATTGAATGCACGAGTCTAATGCTATACATCCATTTTTCAAAGTAACACTTTACAATAATAACGCTAATCTGTTGCGATGAATTAATTTCTCATGAAAACATTGTGTCGAAGCTCAAGTACATGGTGGCATTTTTGGATAATTAAAAGTGGGCTTTCAATTGAAATTTTCAATTGGCTGTATTTGAGTTTTGTTGCATTTTTCCCATTTAAAATGAGCTATAAATAATAATTATTCGTCGTTAAGGCATTTTTTTTTAAATGATGTTCGTAATATCAAATCGAGAAAACAAGTAATTGAATTCGTCGGAATTTTGTTAAAACCTCAATCATGAATTACGAATAATTTGTGCATCCTAATTCCATCAAAATAGCCTTAAGTAGATTAAAAGGTTGAATAAGAACATGATAGCCCAAATGAAGTTCGTGGAAAAAATGGCGATAAGCGGTATGGGAAAGTGGGCAAAAATCAAAAATACACTGTATGATTGATGGCGATCTATGAGTCAAGCGTCGCACTCGAACGTATTTCAAGATGTTCTAAAAATAAAGGAATAGCAATAAATTTGTTCGTCGCACACCAGACATCAAAATTAGATTGGTTTTTGTATGTTTTCTACGATTTTCATTCGAGTAGAACTAATTCTAGTGGTCAAGGTTATTGCCGTTGTTTATTTTCCAATGGCAACGGCTTGCATTTTTGTGCAAAACAAACGTCTTGAAACAAAGTAAAATAGCACTGCATTTACTTAAAAAAAATCATATTTATCACAAGATAAATGGGCACTTATTGATTATATGCATTCACCAGTCTGGCTCGAGTACCGATAACCGAAACAAAATTGTTTACTTGGGGAATTTTATTGTATTTCTCCATTTATATCACATTTGCATTTACTTTTTTTCTTATTTCAGTATACACGCATTATTCCGCAGCAATGCAATGACTCAATTTTACTTTTTTATTGCTACTTTTTCTCTCTATATTTGTTCAACCGAACCAATTTAAACTAAATAAATTTGTGTGGTTTTGTTATTCCAGCCATTTTACGCATCCGATAGTTAGAACCGCTGCAAAAAAATGTCTTGCTGCGGTGGCGGTGACAATGATCGTCGACAAGGGTCCGATGAAAACGATTACGGTAAGTTGATCATATGATTGGGTTAAATAAAAATAGATTTGAACACATGTAATTTGCAATAATGCATTTTGGCAAACTATTTTTTTTAAATACACAGTGCAGATACTGTGGTGTCTCTGAAAAATTGATGAATAGAATTATGTTAGCTAAAAATGTATATGTTCAATAAAAATGCTAATAAACACATTTTGCTTGTGTAAAGTGTAAACACACTCATGCTTTCGTCATCAAAAGCCAATTCTATGAACTGAAATAGAAACTAAATCAAGAGATAGTTACGAGATTTTAATTGTGCATGCGTCAACCAGAAACGAGACACACAACAAAAAATTCGTAATTATTCGTAATTCGTCATTTATAATTAAGTGAGTGAAGATCAGATTTGAAGAGACTAGCTGTATATTGCAGTGGAACTGAAACTGAATTCATTTGATATTATACCACTGTCACAATAGCTCGTTCAACTATAGTTGTATTTTTATTGTAGAACAAAGACAGCATTCAATTAGTTTATATATAAAAAAAACAAGAATCACTCGTGCCAATCATAATAATATATACAATTTGACGTATAGTGCATTTTTATTTAAATAGTTCAGTTGATTCAATAATATAATTCTATTTGAAACTTGGGGGGACTGTCTCTTTGCTTTGGAGCAATTCAAATGGCACCGCGTAAGCAATAACATAAGTTAGTATAATTTTTTTTAAATAAATTATTTTAAAAGATTTTATTTTGAAAATCTATTGAAAAGTATATCGACTCCAGTTCGTTCGTTTATGAAACTAGTTTATGAGAGAAAATTAACACTATAGTGATTATAGAGATAGAGTGAAAGAAAATATGACTAATAAGTGCAATATAATCGTTCAAAACAAGGTTAATTATATTCATTTTCAATATGTAAACAAAGAATTTTATGGACCACAATAGTGCGGCACATACTAACAATTGCTTTTATCTTCGTGACAAAGATTTGGTCTCAAGTGTATTAACGGATCATTTTGTTCAAACAGTGACGATTTTTTTCTCATGTGATATACACGGATCATTGAAATACCGCACAAAGGCATTTTCACACTATTTTTCAATCGAGCAAAGTGCGATTGGTATAAACTTTTATCTATTTTATCATCGAATAATCCAAACTGATAGAGCGACAAGATAAACGGCATGCTATTCTTTGTGTGTAACGGCAAACGGCACTTACAAGTAACAAGTGACAATATTGCACGTCACTTTCGTTTGAAACTGAGGCGACAAAATGCGGCTCGGCTCATGATAAACGCCGTTATACCTGCTTGTAAGTGTGAGTGACTCCGTCTCATACGGAACACAAACAACAGGCTTACAACGTAGATTACATACGAAATGGAAACGTAGTCGCGACACACACATAGAGAGACAGACATATTTGTAGAACAAATATTAACAGAAACAAATTTTAGTCTGTTTGTGAGCTCACACTCATTTAGCAAGTGACTGTGTTCAATTGCATGTGCTTAGTCTGTGATCGTATGTCGCACTGAAGTGTTAACGTTTTGATGAATTCGATACCAAGACATTGTACACCAATTTTATGAAAAAATAGAAGAAATTACGATTAAGAAAACACTTTTTGCACATATGTACATGCATCAGAGTGCAATCATTTAAGAGATTGTTGTGGCAATTGTTTATAATGAATTTAATTCATCATCGTCGCGATATTTCGACGAAAAAATAAACTGTGATTTTTAGAGTGTGAACTGAATTTATCAATTGTATATATTTAAATTGAAAACATTAATATTAGTCATGGGTTGTTGTTTTTCGAATGACAATCAAAAAAGTGTGCATCCATCGGTGAACGATGTTTCTTTTGAACAACTACCAATGAGTAATTCAATACTTTTTTTATTCAAAATCTTAGAAACGTTTTTTTTATCATTTGAAGTAGTAGTGGTAGTAGAGCGCCTTTTCTTATCATTTAATGAACTTTTTTTTGTTCTTACAGGTGAGACAATCAAATATGATCAGAATTTCAAAGGTCCATTATCGAAACGCTCCTGCACCGATGTATGTTGTTTATTCATATTTATTGTGTTCCTTTGTTGTTGGGGATTCGTGGCTCAATTCGGTAGGTGTTACAACTTTTATTATTATGATGATGATGTGAATATTTATTACCGTAATGTTTCAATTTACGACGTTTCACTAATGGTATTGTTCAAAACTTTGTTTTTTAAATAACAGCTATAAAGAATGGTGATTTGGATCGACTTTTAGTGCCGACCGACAGTAGTGGACGAAAGTGTGGCGTTGATAATGGCGTTGTTAATGAGCCGTATTTATTGTTTTTCAACTTGGAAAAATGTATTGATCCGACCGTTCCGTTATTTGGTTGTAAAACACCACAAGTTTGTGTGAGGGAATGTCCAACAACAACGTTTATCTTCGATAAATATCAATGCAATCCAAGCACATTCCCCAGTATTCGCGATAAACTCATTTGTCAAAAGAATGAAAATAAATTTGATATAAGAGATTGTGATGATATCCAGAATCGTGTTGACAGAGGCTCATGTGCCAGTTGGTATCTGCCCAGCAAACCATGTAAGTATCGGTCATTGTCTATTTATATTATACATTATGTCAGTATTATTGTTTCCGTTAATATCATTGTTTGACGTTATCATTTTTGTTTAGTTTGTGGTATATTATTTGGTGTTTTTTTTCTTTTATTATCAAAATATTTTGCTATATATTTCCTATGTATGTGTGTGTCGAATGTAGATAAAGTGAATGTATTTAGTTACAAAAATGTTTGCAAATGTACGTATTTGTTGCTTATTCCTTTGAATGTCATTAGTTTTAAAGCGATGTATCTCAGGATTGCCTAAGAATGAATGCCCTCGCCTTTCGAAAACTCTATTGCAACGCTATAGACGAAGCTTATCACTGGACGATACCGATCATCCGCTTGACCAAAGTCAACGCACTGTTTCCAAGCAATCGCCAGTTTTATTTCCAAATGATTTGACATCATCGAGCCAAACGGCTGCAAATGAACCGGTCATTACATGTGAAATCGCTCGAAATGTCGGCACACAAATTCTTTACGAAAAAGGACAATACGCTGACTCGATGCTGTCACGTTTCGTTGGAAATTTTATCATGCTATTTTCGAATGAAAAGACGGCACAAGAAGTAAGTAAAAGAGTTGCTTAATTGTACATATATTCTGATGGGGAGAGGAAATGCTTAAACGCTAATACAAAAAAAGTTTGGGAAATTCTGTGTTTTCATTTCATTGTGTTAACAATTCATCAATCATTTTGTACTGTTCTGTTCGACGTTATATGCTATAAGTGCGGCATGTTTTCTAAACTTTTTCAAACAAAAATGAAACCAATAAATCCATCGTTTTTATTTTAATTATTCAGTTGCAAAACTATGCATTCCGAATGATGTTTCATTGATGAATAACATTAAATCGAATAGCCCGCAAGGGAATCCGATCAAAAGCCCCAAAGTGTCCGATTTGTTAAGTGCAGTAGAGAATATAAAATTTTTTGCCGAATTCGATGGGGTAAGTTACAAATCGAAAATCCAACATGAAACTGGACATGAATGATCCACAAAATCTCTTGAATAGAATATTGATCTCGTTGCTATTTATAGTATTCCGGACCCATTTTTATTTTAAACAAAATTTATAATGCCAACATATAAAATGCACAGATTCCTGCCATTTAAAAGAAATATATTTCCTCCACAATCATTGATTTTTCTCTCTTTCTTAATTCAAATTTCTTCTCCTAATCGTTACAAAACTGACCGAATTTAAAATGTTAATCTAATTTTTAGATGGGCCAAAGAATCGTTGAAGATCTGATGAAAATCCGCTGGGCAATCGCCGCTGATATTTTTCTAGCAATGTTTTTCTGTTTGATTGTTATTGCTGTGATGCGTTGGGTGGCACGACCGTTAGTGTGGTTATCGATATTGGGTGTCATTGTAATGCTTGGATTTGGTAAGAAATGTCTAATGCCAAATGAGCTTAAGAAGCCGTTAAAAATGTCTTTATGAAATTATCATTTTTTTTCTTCGGTGTAGCGACCTATTATTCCTTCACGCAATATGTATACTTCCGTGACCGACCCCCAACCGACGTGAATGTGCACACAAATCTAAGTTTGTGGATAAATACGCTGCTTCAAAAGCCGAGCACATGGTTGACGTTAGGAATCGTGGCCGCCATAGTATTAATCATCATACTATTAGTGGTTCTTGTACTACGCAAACGGATTCTTATAGCCATTGCACTTGTCAAAGAGGGCAGCAAGTATGATGGAGTTGTATAATTTTTTACGCTTTACTTGTTTTTAATCGTTTTTATCTTTTTCTTGCAGAGTCGTGAGTTCGATTTATTCAACTGTGTTCTTTCCAATATTTCCATGGATATTACAAATTATTGTCACCGCATTCGCCGTCGCTGTTGGCTTGTATTTGTCCAGCATTGGAACGCCAAAGAATCAAGTCCTTCGGATGAGCGAAGAGCCAAACTGCCATTGCTTCGGCAATGCATCTCACTATAAAGTAAGAATAATTGACTTTGTAAGGTTTTAAAAGTTCCACGCACAATGGAAATTGAAACGTTTCATGGGAAAAGCTCAATGTTTGATGCATTAGGTAAAATGCAAATTGCCATATTTTTCAATGTGTTTTTCTCTCTTTTTGTCATAAAATTTAGGACGGCGTTACATGTGATCCTTTCATATTCAATGCATTTTGTAAAGCTGGAAATGCTTTATGCGAGAAAGCCGCATGTAATTTCAAAGAAATTGAAAGCCCACGAATAGTACCATACTTCCAGGTAATAAACAAATTTATTCGAAATAAAATATATTGAATGTCTTCAAGTAAAATTAATAATAATTCGATTTATTGTTCGACTGAAGGCTTTGAACGTATTCGGTTTCTTTTGGGGCATTTTCTTTGTTTCGGCTCTGGGTGAAATGGTATTAGCAGCGACTTTTGCCACCTGGTATTGGACATTTCATAAAAAAGATGTACCGTATTTCACTTTAACCGTGGGCCTTGGTCGATCTATCAGGTAATTTTATTAATTTGTAAATGAGAAAATTCTCACATAATTACATAAATTCAAATGGCATGACACGCTTCATTATGTTGTTAAAAATGAATGAACATTTTAATGATTTGTTTTTCTATAGATATCATCTGGGTACGGTTGCATTTGGTTCGCTCATAATTACAATTTGCCGTGTAATACGTGTGATTCTTGAGTATATCGATGAAAAACTGAAGAAATGGGACAACGAATTTACACAGTGTGTTCTTTGCTGTTGTAAATGTTTCTTTTGGTGTTTGGAGCGATTTTTACGCTTTTTAAGCAAAAATGCGTACATCATGTGTGCCATACATGGCAAACCGTTTTGCAGCAGTGCACGTGATGCATTCAATTTACTGATGAGAAACTTTTTGCGTGTTGTTGCTTTGGATAAAGTCACCGAATTTCTGTTTTTCTTAACAAAAATTCTAATTACCGTCGGAATGGGTGCTGTAACATACGTTTACTTTACCAGCGAAAGATACGATGATAAATTGAATTACGTTCAAGTTCCAGTGGTAATTGTAATGTTTGCCACATATCTCATCGCAAGTGTGTTCTTCGGTGTTTATTCGATGTGTGTTGACACATTGTTTTTGTGCTTCTGTAAGTTGGAATTTTGAGATAAGAACACATTTGAATCTCTATTTCAGTTCATTTAATAAAATAATTTGATTTTTGTTACTTTCAGTGGAAGATTGCGAACGAAATGATGGCTCTGAAGAGAAGCCATACTTCATGTCAAAGCAATTGATGAAAATTCTCGGCAAAAAGAATATTGTTCCACGTGATCAATACCAAGAATCATAAATATAAAGGCCAAATTAGTGTTATTAGTTAAGTTTAATTAAAAATATAGGTAAAACGTTCAAAAATGCAGTGTGATCATATAAAACAAGCTCAAATGTCATCGATATATGTGATTTTAATTTTTCTCAAACCCAAAAATCACATTCATCTAAAAAAATCATTTTCACTACAAAAAGAATAGAAATTTCTTCCAAAAATATTATATATACACATTTATCTTACTGTATACATTTATATAAAAAATTGTTCATAGTCTGACCAATTAAGTGTTTATATACGTCAAAGACCATTGTTCACTACCTCAATAGTGAGTTGGGAGTAAATTCAATGAACTTTTTTTAAAAATTAATTCCTATTTATCTAAAGATTTTATGTCAATTATTCAAATTTTATTGTAGTTGTTAAATTAATTGAAATTTTGACCAGTCTTTTCGAAAGACTCATATAAAAAAAAAAAAACAATATTTTTGGACACATAATGTATAATTCACTCTATATCCGGTATTTACTTATTTGTTAATTTCACATTTTTAACTCTGAACAAATTCATGTATAGCAAAGATTATTTTATATCAATACAAAAATGCGTAAACGATTGAGTAAATTCGAATTTGAAAGGTTTTTTATAAAGTTATTCTTTAGCAAAATTACAAGCACATTTTTTCTTTCACATTTGTCCATGGATTCACCCGAATGGTATGTATCACTAAAATTTATTAACTGTTAGGTGATGACAATTGTACGGTATGTATGCTTTGATAATTGCCACAGAAATTAGCGTTTATCACTAGTATGATTTAGATTTAATATTCAAAAGATGTTCAAAATCAAGTCCGATAAAATATACGAGGATTAGATATACAACCGAACAACTTAAGAACATTGCCGTTATTTATTTTTACTTTTCCGCACACACCTAGTGTGTAAGGTAAAGTATTGGAATCGGTCGAAAAATTAACACCCCCAAAAAAACATGTTTTCTGGGTGGTTTAAGAGCCAGGGAACACGAATCAGTCGTTTTTACGATGTCCGAATGAATATGCGTGGTACCTTGTACGCAAAAAAATGTTAGCACGATAACTTTCAACCAAGAAAAGTAATTCAAAATCTGACTTCACAGGATGATCCCGAGGAATAGAAACCATTAAATTTTGAGCGACTTTGGTTGATAGAGTGAAGTGTCACGTCTGGTGTGATGCCCATGAGAAAAATTCAATTTTTCTTCCAAAAGTGATATTTAATGTATTCTTAAACACTCAAAAATATGTATTGGGGGTATCGCAAAACTAATGTCAGATTCAGTTTTCTCGTGAATTCAAATTTAAGTAAAAGATATGTAATAAATGCATGTTGTGGATTACAGTGCGGAAAAGTACATCTTACATGTAACACATTTCATTTTTTTGTGTAAATATAATCATCTGTCTTGAGTGTGTTATTTTTTACTTTTGAATCGTTCTATCATGAAATGAAAAATTGGATAAAATTAAAAACGATCTTGACAATACTTTTAATGAGGCTTCAATATGTAGATTGTAAATCAAATGTAAACTTGAAATAAAAAAATATATTTTTTCTTCGGTAAATTATTTATTCAGTTTTAATCGTGGTATCGAAATCGCGTTAAGTTAAACAACCGGAAAGCCTGGAATATATGTATTAATTCGCTTTAATTTTGCCATCAAACTCATCTCTAATTCATAGGTAAACTTACTTGAGGCTACTAGCTTATCTTCTCCTCTGTCAAAAGCATACGTTCTGATAAGAAACTGTTTTCCACCCAACGAAACTGTACAGTTATCTCTATCCATAACAACACACAATGTATATAGAGCCATTTCTAGTTCAGGTGGTGTGCCAATAAACATTGAAGTTGTTGGCTTTGTCATATTATCGAATGAGAATTGATACTTGATGACATCAACACTCTTTAAAAAAAAAATGAAAATGACCAAACTGTAAACCGCAAAACAAAAGGAAAATTTTAGATTACTTTTGGTAGCGAAAGTTTTGCCGTAAGTCTTTGGAAAGAAATTCGCCCCCGCACGTCTTCTTGGTCACGAAAATAGATCCAATTATGCAGTCCGCTGATTTCTTTATAACCGTTCTGAAATCAAATATTAAAAACAGAAGAAATATTAATTCATATCCATTCGATGAAAAAATCAAATTTGAAGAGACAAAAATATGTACCCTATTAACGTGTTCCTGGCAAAACACATGCTTGAAGCCAGAAGATGATCTGGGACCACCGCGAACACGAGCGTATTTGGTGAACCAGAGAAATTTGAGTAGTCTTTTATGTTCATATATTGCATATCTGGGTTCCATTTTATATTGAAAACCATTCACCACTAAAATAACCGGGGAAACTCATCAAATTACATTGAAAGAACAACTAATAATGTAATTTTACATTTTTTCCTGAAAAAGTCCATCAATGTCGCCATAACATTCGTTCTGAGAAGTGAGAACAGCTTCCAAGAATCGATTTTGCTCAGAGAGATGCTCTCGGGTTTCTCTTTCTTCTTTTGACGCATCCAATTGGTAGTTATCAAACAAGGGTCGCATTGTTCTGATCGTTTCTATGCTATTCAAATCTGCTTCTTTTACGTATAAAGTCCTATTTCGAATCGAATTGAAATTTATTTTTAATTGACATCTCTTCAGAAAGTGTAAATAATAATAGACTCACGGTCTCTTTTGGCTATTAAATTGAACTTTTGTTGCCAAACTCATGTTGGCTTTTTTAAAAAGTTCTTCGCTCATTTTCAAAATTTCAAGATCACTAGCCCTTAATTCTTTGCAAACGAATTTTTAAAAATAGTTGAGATAAAGTCAATTCAAAAACAGATATAGATATACTCACTTGAATGGCATGTTGAAATGAAGAATGCACATGTTACAATCAACACAATTAATTTCATCGTTATGAAACTCTATCTAGCAAGTCACAGTCAATTGATAAAATAGGTTTCACAATTTTTACTAAAATTTCTTGGCTTATATATTATCACCCAACTCATTATTCATTATGATACCCTTATAAATATTCATCTGTAATAATGAATTATACAAAATAATAATGGAAATATTATTTCTAAATGGAACGTGCGGATGGACTACTTCTACATTTTTTTTTTTATTATTTCTGAGTTATATTAACAAGGGGACTGCAAAAAGTATGAAAAAAGCAGTTAAAAAGTCGAAGTAAAATTAAAAGTCAAGTATTCATGAAAAATTGTGATCTAAAGCTTATAAAATATTCAGTTTGCAGTTTGACGTTGTATCAATGTGTTCAAAAATTAAGGTGAATTTATAAAATAAAAGAAAGCCGCTTTTAGATCTATAATATTTATTTCATGCAATTCTTTGCCAAGTTTGAGCGCGATGTGATTATTACTTCTAAATAATGAAAAATATTAAATGAGTATTCAGTTGACAACAAAATATATATTTTTCAAAAGAATTTTTTTGTGTTTTAATTTACATTGGATTCTAGATTGGATTATATTGACGTAAGAAATATTCAGAAATATTTTCCTTAGGCAAGTGAAAATCTGCATAATATCTTTCGCATTGAATTTTGAATGGAACATGTATCAAGCTCGATTTCAATTCTGACTCACTTAATTCTTGCGTAGGCAGTTTGATGATCGAGTTTTGGAATTTATATTCAAATCTAGATCAATATTAGCAGAATGTGTAAATATTGCAAAGATCCACTGATTGCCTCGGGTAATCCTAAAATCGGATAGCATTCTTTTATCAAACAAATTTCGAATATTGTAAGTATCATCGCCATTGAAATATGCAACAAATACATTAAATTCGCTTCAAATGATTTATGTTTGAAAGGAATTTCACACTTGAGCAAAGTAAGACAGCATGACTCATCAACTACTCAACTCATGACTACTTTCCAACCAAATGAGTCTTATTTTCAACAAAATTTCCGGTTTTGAAGTTAATCATTTACCTGATATTGTAGGGAAATAATTACTGGCTTATTAATAGACTGTTAATATTTATCTTATTACCATCGAACATTCATTGGTCGTGTAAAGTTGCCGGTGTACCTGTATCTCGATCAGTCGATCAGAAAATGTAATGATGTGTTGCGGAATATCAATGAGTTATGGTTCATTTTTAATATATATCAATATTTGTAGCATTGAAAACGCTAAACCCTTGAATAAACGGTGCTTCCTTTTACATCGAATCATAACTATTTTGGGTTGAAAATTAATCGAGAAACTTAAATTAATTTCGAATAACAAGTTTATAACAAGGATGATGTCAATTCGCTTCAATGGAAAGTGATAATCCACTGCACATATTTATTTAGCTAATACACTTTCAAAAATTGCACGAATAAAACCATATACACGATAATTGCATTTGACAACTACAAGAATATTGACAACAACAAAAAATAGAAACAACAGAAACTAAATGGGGTTTCTATTGAAGATATATGGAGTGATGCAACAGGTGTAATTGCGTTGTTTCAACCTAATAATAGAGGAAATGGAAAACGTTGACATTTATTTTCTTCTTAATACATAATTCTAATTTTGCAAGTCAGTGCAGATTTGTATCTAATAATATCTGTGATTCAATTCCAATACTATCACATCGTATGTTACTAATAATCATCAGATGAAACAGTATATTCTTCATCTAACAGAAAATTATGGAAACAAATTTGGATAGAGTAGTTTATCAAAATGTTCTATAATTTCTTTACCTTCGTATAACAACTGTCGGCTATGCAAGATAAGTAGAGTATTATTAATATCCAATGTACAATGGAGAGTCCCATTGCTGAAAGAATTGTTATTTAAAAATGTAAACATAAACAAGTAATTGAAAAATTCTCGTACCAAATGTGTAAAAGAGGCTCAAAGGTTCATAATGTATGTAATACCAATTTAATTCGGTGAGCAGGAAGTAAAAACAAAACGAAATTGCACCAACTTGAGACCATCCAAAAATTTCATTCAATAAATAAATCATCCTATATATCATCATAGTTTTGCTCCAATTCAGATGGAAAACTAAAATTTGTATTTATCTCTATGCATTGTTCAATTATCAAATTCAACGCTTTTTCAACCATTTTCAGTTGAAAGTTCAGAGTTTCCAAACAAAATAAATAGTAAAACATACTGGCTTCACATATTGTAAAAAGAGCTATATATACACCATCAACTGAAAAACTGTCAAACGGTTGAATGAAAAGTCTTATTGAATATGTATAAATCGTCTTCAATAAATATGCGACTAGCTTCAACCAATAAAATCGAAAAATAAAATCGGTTTGGGTTTGATAGGATATGTCGATCTGTTGAAGAGTCTCCCAAAATGTGTAATGTTCACAGCAATAAAACATCGAATCCACAATTATGAGCCAATCTGTGCTCAACGCAATGGCATACTGTACACATTCGCTAATCACTTCAAGGAGCAAAAGTTTTGCGTAATACATTAGAAACAATTGCGTTTGAAACCACGTTAAAATTATCGCAAACGCTATGTGTAGAGAATAAATAATTTTTCGATATTTATGTAGCCGAGATAAACCAGAATTATAACCAAAAATATCAAAAATCTTTAAAACATTGACAATTTGATTTGGTAACATTTTGAACTACACAATTCGCTTTAATCAACTAAACTATCAGTTTTGAAAACAGAAATGGTATTGGTAGTTCTTCATTCTTTGGAATCTACGTCGTTTTATTTATTCTTGACTGCGATGTGCTGCGTTAAAATATATTCAAAATATTGACATAGATATTAATCGATTCGTAGTGAAAATCTCCACATTTGTTTTTTCAGAGAATAGCTGACTTGAACAAAATATAGGTGTTAAAATGTGACAATCAACGAAAACAAGAGAGAAAACGATCATATTTATTTTTTCTCGACGAAATTGGAAGTCTTTCTTATGTCTATACAAAACCGAAGTCAATGGGAAAGTCATAATTTTTTTCAAAAATCGATCAAGATAACAAAAAAATTAGTGTAAAGTGAAAAAATCTGAAAAATGGAAATTCAATGTTCAATTCCAAATTGGAGCTTGTAAAATAATACGGTGGTACACTTTTCTCTACGATAGTACACTTGTTAGCACTATATGAAATGTACGTTATGTTTTTTGGCCCATTCGATTTTTTTAGTTTTAATCGTTATGTTTTTTGTACTTCACCCAAAAATTCAGCTACGAAGGAATTGAAATCGGATCATAAATTCTCTGATTTCAGTTTACTCCAGCCGATTATTTTGCTCCATAATAAATCTGTAGAGCCAAGCGTCGTTTTTGAGCCGATATATATGGAAAATCAATCATTTTAATAACTCAAATAACATTTAATTGAATGAAATCTTATTCAACTTCAAATGTGGAACAAAAATGAACTTGGTTTGGCAAAGCCATCAAATGCCAAAATGTCTCTAAAAATGAACGATGGACGGAAAATAATAATTATAAAAAAGAATTCCTTGTTAATTTTATTTTATTGCTTATTATCTTATCAATACCAATTTATATACATTGGGAATTTTTCCAAAGATTATGATTATAATCATATTATAATATTGAACATAAAGTTTTCTTTTAATTCCAAACATTGCATTGTGCGTAATTCGCTGACTTTTCATTTCGAACTTAGTAGCTCCAAGCAGCACTGCAGCTATAAGAACGGGAAGAGCTACCGCCCTTCTTGTAATCGTTCAGCATACATGATCGATTGTTTTTAAAAACCATGTATGCACATATCCTTTCACCATATTTGGATGCTGTTAACGTCTTAATATTGTCTTCTTGTACATTATTATCAACTTCTCGGATTCGACTCAAATATTTCTGCTTCTGAGAGATAACATTTATTTCGCAAGGATAATAATCACATCTTGCAATATTCATAATCGAAACACTGATAATCAGCATAAAAATTACACTTTGTCGGTCGAACATCTTGAAGAACAATCTATTACACTTGATGCGCTCGTTGAAACTGATGCGTTGCTGATTTTATGCCTTTATATACGATTATTAAGAGCACACGTTCAATAAAAGTATTGGAATTTTTTGTAAAATTATGATGCTCACCGAAAATGATGTGTCTTTATAGAAATCAAAATGAGTAATAAAAGGCATTAATTCGGCTGTCAACAATGTAAATGAGACCGAACACAAATTGCATATTGCCGCACTTACATTGCCGAAACCGTTTGCAATGACACCTTTATCAACACATAACTAACAATAAACGTGTGGATTGAATTACGCATATTGGCATCATACTTTCCAATTAAAAATGAATCACTATAGAATATTCCGAAAAAATGACAAAAAAACACATCTGTTTATTCAATGGGGACGTTTGCCATGAAACAAATAGGATCGAATCAATTGCGACACTTAAAACAACAGAATTCTTATTCAATATTATACGTAAATAATATCTCTTATTGATCAAAATATTCCAAAGAATTGAACAATTCATCTTTTTTATTCTCGTTTAAAATCCATTCCATGACTGGTATCAATGTGAAATTTTGCAATGTTTTAGTAACGAAATAAATGTAATTATAGATTCCATAACAGATTTAAACGAAATATCAACCAGCTCCACTTGAAAGTTTCACGTTTGAACATTCCGCTTCAACTGATGGAGTCAGTCATGCGTTTTTTTTTTTTTAAATATAAACATATATATAAACATGTTGCATGAAGATTCGATGAAATACACGTTTTCTTTTGATCAATCAATTAATTAAATGCATTTAAATATAAAACACAGAAATCGAATTGCTCGATCATTGATCTCTTGAGGTTTGATTTTATGAAAGAAACAACAGTTCATCAAGAAATAACGATTGAATTTTACTACGTTTGGGCGTTGATGTTTTTATTATTCAAACTGATTTTTTTGCAATTAGAAATTACGATAAAACCAAAATGTTATTCGTCTGAAACAGAAAATTCATGAAATACAAGATTTGCCCGATGAAAGTTCAACCGGTGATGAAAACCGAAAAGTGAAATCAAGAACCGCAGAAAACAACGACAGGTAAAGTGAGGTAAAGTTGAATGAATGAGAGAATATGAAAACATGCACTCACACAACCTCATGCCAAAAGGTGATCGTTATATAAACGCACGTAGGGCACAGATGTACGAAGAGAATGGAATGGGCAACATTAACAAAAATAACAACACATTCATTTGTTTCACATGCATGTCTGGATCGATTAGCACACACAGGCCAAAGCAGAGACAGAAAAAAAGAATGAACAACCAATACATACGTGAAAAGTCGATCGGTGTGTATGTGTCAAACGATCGGTAAAACGTACAAATGCACAAAACCGTTTCACTGTATGAACGTGTGTGCACACAAGCGAACAACTTAGCGACAACAAAGAGTACACACATTCACATCAACCGTGCGAACGAAATAAAACGTTGGAAAAGTGTTCACACACGAAATACGATTATACGCTGTGTAGTTTGTTTTTTTTTTTATTCGGGAAGAGAATCAAAAACTTGAAAGCAGCAACAGTAACATAACGAACAGCCGACATCGAGAGACGTAACAAGATGAAACAATAAAATTGAGGAAAAGAACTCTTACACATTTCGAAGCAACAGGTCAACCGACTTACCGATTGCAGTTTTTATCTCAAATGATGAAAAAAGAAGTGTACACAGAGAGTACGTTCAGATAAATGTTTTTTTTTTCTTTTTGTGTTTGCTTTTCTACTCTTCATCCAGAAAAGTGCTGTGATTTTAATTCTCAGTGAATTTATCGGGATCCCAAAAGTGAAATAACGCAGAAAAAGTGAAACTACTTTAAATAGATTTTTGTGCTACGTGAAAACAATCAAGACAACGAATGAATTTCAATTGTGTTTGTGCAGACATTTGAAGCTTGAAAAGTGCATATTGAATTGTTTTTTAAATTTACAACAGAAACGAAAACGTATTGGCGAACTTAGTTCACGATTTGATTAGATAGAAGAAAAAAATGTCGATTCGTCGATGTACTGCACAATTTTTATTCCACCAACAGCTATTTGTTGTAACGATGATGGCCTGAAACGTGTGTGGTTTCTTGTGAGAGATACATAAAAAAGATAGTAAGTAACGACATGAAAAAAAAAGAAAGAGAAACAGAAAAAAAATCTCAACAAAAAAAATATATATGAGTATAAAAAAAGATACTGAAAATCATTCTCAAGACCATTGTGTGTGCATTTAAGCAAAGAGCCCGAGCAAAGCAAAGAAGCAATAATAGCCGAAGAATTGCGGAACGGTGAAACGAAGAGAAAAAAACAACACACACACATTCATGGCAACGAAGAAGTAGATGAAAAACGGCAAAAATAAAGAGCGCAAAGAAAAGAAAATTGCACATACGTACACAGATAAACGAATAAATGCCAAAAGTGCCTTCGGCCTGAGATACTTTATACTTTTTTATTTTGCTTGCTATCTTTCTTTTGCTTTTCTTGCACTGCTAACTTCCGTCTCTTTCATGTAAATGCTTTGTGGCCGTTTTTTTCGTATAAAATCGAAAATCAAAACATTTTTCAGATTCTTTTTTCAACTCCAAATGATCAAGCGCCAAAGCAGATGATGAAGAAGAGAGGAAATTCGTTTTTTCCCCCTCTTCAAGAATAATGAAGTTCAAACGCCAAAACTTCGTAACTGATGAACATACCATTCAAATTGCGATGTATACATCCTAATCTGACCAAAAATTTGCATGCAAAATAATCATCGAATAAAGTTAATATTCTGCTGTATGCCGATGACGACAACGACAGTGGCGGCAACGAACAAAAAACCCATCAATTAAGATAATAGCGATATAAAAAAACGAATTTATTTTTATTATTCGACAAACAATAATCATAACATAATTTCGATTTTGGCGATTATCATTTCGATTGAATAGTACAAGTGTTGATTTGCATGTATTGAACAAGGACGTTTATTTAAACAATTGTATACGAAACAAAATTCACGATGTGTGTTCATTAAATTCTTCTTTTTCGTCTGCTTTGTAATCACTTATAATTGAATTCGCTATCGCTGATTCGATATAATTCAAATGCAAAATCAAATTGCTCGATTGTCGTGCGTCGTTGAAATCCATGTCATCGCACCATTTTTAATAAGGTTGTTATTGTCAATTTGGGTATTCGTGTCACTGATCACCATAAAATAAAGTCGACACGGCAACCATAGAAAATAAATAGAAATTCACAATTCGAACGAAAAACACTAGTGAAGACATTTGCGACGATCTAACTTTTTCCGCTTTTCAAAGCATTGCTGTATCCGGCTGTATCGAACCAATCGACCAATGTTTTGCGAATCATGAAATAGCATAGCGCAAAATTTTCGAAGCGAATGAGAATACAAAACAATGCTACTAGTGAAGGCCAAGAAGACCGTTGAATTTAATATCTAAATTAACCGAAGATTTTTCGCATTTTTGAAATGAAACAATAAAGCGAGTGAACAACAACAGCAGAAAAAAAAAGTATTGAGAAAAATGAGTCGCCTTTTATAAAACTACCTATAATTCTCACATGCGAAAACAATAGAAAAGATACACGCCAAGTATGTATAACGAATCATTCATGATTTTCGCAAGAGAAACCGAAAAAAAAACCACACGGCAAGAGAAAAACAAAGAGGCCGATGGTTTTCGAACATGTTTTTTTTTTCGTATCGTTGTCTTTGTTTTAAAATTTATATTGATGTATGCGGTTACACATTTTGCTAATGTGAATTTCATTCGTCAGAATGATGACTCATATACTCAGTTTTTTTGGTGTGTACAAAGTAGTGCCATTGGAAGAAACAAGCACAGAAAAGAGAGCGAAAAAAAAACACTTGTAAAAACTGAAACAGATGCATTTCGCTACTCGTTCGAATTGTTAGCATTTTTGTATTTTAGTTTTCGATTCACAATACGTGTATAAAATCGTTGTATGTGCGAAATGTTGTCGGTTAATTCAGTGGTGCGGTTGTTTAACGAAATGATGTTAATTGATGGTCGAACACGACAAGCGGCTTATGTGCGTTAAATAAGTCAAAAGCATTTTGAATGCCGGTCATATCATGTCTTTGTCGATTGTAGTCGACCCTTCGATGCGTGTTTTTTTTTCTCTCCATCACTTTACCTAATTTGAATATATTGGTGTGTGCAATGCGTCGCATCGAGCAGCTGTGCCAAAAGGAGAATTAACATCGGAATTTTTAAGTGTATAGACAACGGTGTACAGTACACATTGTATTGTTGTTCAGCAAATGAACATTTTACTTAAAGTGAATGGGCAAGAATTGCCATTACGCAAACTTCATTTAATGAAAATGTAATTAACACGATGCAAGCAATTTTTGATGTTGAAATCGATCATAAAGTGTGAACGTGCTCCGGATTCTGAATTGAAAAATATATTATTGATGCTGAGTGTTGCAATGCTATATATCTTTCTCTTTCGTTCTTGCGCTCACGCGTAGACTCTATTTATGACATTGGCTAGAGTCTTATTCTGCTGTTCTATGCAATTAAGAAGCCATAACAGTCTCTTCGGTAAAGGTCATTTGCCATTATTTCGAGAAGATTCAATTGAACGTACGTCAATAATCGTCTCGAAAACAAAAGCAGGCGTCAATTATTTTATGGTATTCTTAAAAACTTCCAATTGGATTGGTAATAAAATTCGTTGAAGCATTATGAAACAAATATTTTATTGCGTAGCCATCCTACACAAGAAACTTTTCTTAAAAATAGCATTCCCGTTATCTCATTTGAACTTGCAAACGCGATAATGATCAATCAATGGTTATTCGTCTTCATTTGGCAAACAGCATATTTCCCAATAACAACAACAACAACCAAATACAGGAAAGAAAAATAAAAACAAATCCTAATGGCTGTTACTCATAATGCCATAAAGAAATTGCAAGTATTGAGTTATTGCGTTCGTAAATTAACAGTTTTTCGTTGCAAATGTATAAACGTAACTTCACTTCGTTGCAATCGGTAGAAATTATGCGAAAACCAGTGTTTCATTAGCTAAACACAAGAAAGAGAGGGAGGTATAGAGAAATGCATGCGGTAAATGCCAATTAGAATGGCATTGGTAGTAAAATAAGATAAAATTCCAGCTAAATAGTATCGTGCTTGTTGCAATCATACTTATTCGTACTGAAGTGTTCATTTGATTGTGTGCCAAGTGCCAAATGGACTCTGTCCATTGCATACAAAATCGTTTTTTTTTTCTTTTTAATTGTTTCGTTGAACATTTTTTTGAAAATGCACCACAAAATCTGATTTCTCCGAATACATCATCATGTTGGCCGACTTAATGACACCTTCCGGAACACAGTAATGACTCACTCGTCTTTTGGGATTTGTGAGAATATTTCAATTTCGAAACGAACAAACGACCACGAACCACTTTGATAACATGATATATGCAGTAATGCACCAAAAACCAGAACCTTCAACATCACCAACGACACACATTGACTTCACCGAATCGTCGGTTAAATTATGTTTTCTGCCGTTTGTTGTTTTATTTTATTTCATTCGCTCGCTATCTACCTAACATTTTGTTCATTTTGTAATGTGTTCTTTTCCCTTCGTTTGAGCGTATGCGAGAAGGCAACAAGCAGGAGCATCAGAAGCAAACATGAAAACACGTTGTTCTCTCTCTCTACGTATTTGTACGATGTTGTTTATTATTTTGCGGTTTTGTGGGTCTTGAAAGGCTGCGCGCTGTAAAGTTGAAACAAAACCGAGAACACCAACTAGATTGAGATGCACAAACACGGCAAATGATTGACGGCTAATGAGCAATAATACCATCGCCACACATCCATACACACACTCACACACAGTATGGACGATAAAATGTTGTCGTTTTTTTCTCTTGTCTTCTTGAAACGTGAATGCACAAACGGTAAAATGAGAAGCGATGCGAGTCATTCAAACGCACCTAACTTGCTTTGGTTGTTAATGTTGTTGTTGCTTCTCGTTCTTTTCGTTTCGATTGAATTGTGTGTATGTGTTTTTTTTCAATGTTGTCTACTTTTCTTTTATAAAAACTTATTCGAGTGAGAAAATTTATTTAAAAACAACAACAACCGACCGTAGAAACAATCAACGAAAAGGCAAAGATCGAATCTCAGTCCAATGCTGTATGGTTAAATGAAGGTAATCGGTCGAATGGCTTGACGCAAATGAGATCAGTATGTGGAAATTTCATAGAAAACAAACACAAAATATATCGCTTACACATCACATATTACTAAACGTGTGCATACAGCAAAGACTTAAAAAACCAACAACAACAACAAAAAATACATTCAGTTTGTAACGTGCATATCATTAATGTGTTTAGCCGTTGAAATATGTCGAAAACAATATCTAAGTACACAAAATGGGCATGAATTGAAAAGAGAATGAAAAATATTGAAAATAGCTCGCTCAGAACTATAAAAATGCATATTTTATCAGTGAAGCGCGATGGTATGCTCAATAAATTTTGTTTGTGTAACCGAATGACTCATAATTTGCTTAACACGCGCATTGCATAAAAGATAAAATATTCTCTTCCGACATCAACTCACATTCGTCGTTTCTGTTGGAGCTACTCTTCTGTATTTACTTGGTTGCTCTGTACTCCAGAATTGTGGTGAAATGAGAAAGAAAGGAAACGCATTAAAATGTACACGGCCAACCTCAGACAGCACACTATTTGCACTGGATATGGCTTCTTTACACCCAATGCTTGCTCTGGCACTCAACTTAATCGTTTAGATGTTTTCTTGTCTCATTCATTGACATACATGTACTCGGTTTTTTTTGCAATTTGACCAAATAAAGCGATTATTTACGTTGTACTGTGTTCCGTACACTCTTTGTATGATTCGCTTCTATTTTTGGTTAATTTAATTGTTTGGTTGTGATTTCCATAAAGCGTGTTTAAAAAAAGGAGAGAGAGACACGTAAACACCTTGGCTCTGGAAATGTTGTCCGCGAAATTAAGTTGCTAAATAAAATCGAAGTGGCTTATTTTTGTTTAGTCTTACTTCGCTTGAACTGGCTTTCGAAAGATTTCCTTTTTTGTCAATAATTCGTTGGCATTTTGTTAATGAACTTCGTATGTCACCACCTGAATCAAGTTTTGGTTTGGTCGTGTCGAAAGAGTGAAAAACAAAGATACGGAAACACCTGCTTTCAAATTAAATAATATGATTGAATTTCTTTTTTTCTTCTTCATCCTTTTAGATTGATACACAAATAAAAAAAACTGCATTAATCAATAAATAAGACTGGTTTATTTACCTGGCACTCAAGAGAGAAAAAGAGAGAGAGAGAGAGACGCGCGAAGACAGAGCGAAAAAAAAGATCGGAAGTGATAAATCAAAATAGTTGAGCGACAACAATGCAGCGAGATCACCTGTTCAATCGGTCAACACGACCATTGCTGGATTCATCACCAAAAGGTCATTATCATGCACCAACCGCGACAATTATCCAGCAAACAAAAAAGCCAAAACAGACGATAGGAAGCGATTACAAGCTAATGCACGGTTTTAATGATTTCAATTTTGTGGCGAACCAATACAAAAATCTGAGTAACACACACACTGGCTATCCGTATGGTAATAATAGTCCGCCCGATTCACCGAATGCTTCATCGTTACGCTATCATCAATCGAATGGATACGATGACAATACCAGTGGTCATTTGCCGTATTATGATGACGATTCTGGTTTTCATACCAATAATTCAAGCGAAAATTTCAGTTGCCGCAGCAATCATTCTCATTCACAATCAATGAATTACTATGAAGATCCAAACGACCAATATCACAATCAATTCAATGGAAATCAGTATCAATTGCACAAAGAAATTCAATCATCACAAAATGTCATTCAAAAAAAGAGTGGCTTCTTCAAAGAATGGTCACGTTTTGGTGGCAACAGTGGCAATGGTAACAGCAGCACCATCACCACCAACAACAAAAACAGCAAAACACATCACAAAATTACAAACAGTACAAACGACAACGGATTCCAACAATCGCCCGAGCCAATGCATAATAAGCATCATCATCATCACCAACAACAATACAATTGCAATAAAATCAACTCAATCACACCAAGCCCTGTGAATCGTTTGCTTGACAATGGTCCATTTATATTCGGCGTACATTCTCAAGCATGCTATTCACTGCCGTCCAAAGTAAAAAACGATTCTGTGATAAAACATTCTACGGCAACATCTGTTCTAACAACCAAATACACACCAATCGATCCGGATGCAAATATCGAAGACGCAAACGATGTAAGTATAGACAAATTTCAACATTGATTACGATGCTCGTTTTACTTTTTCTTCAATGTACGTTGTTGTATGCGTTGATTACAATCGACGTCGATTGATTATTATTATGTGCCCGTGCAAATGTGCGATGTACAGATAAAACGGGAAAATGAAATAAAACCCCATCCCAATATGCCCTTTCTATGCGATTGATTTTCTTTTTTCGATCCCTTTTTTTATCCATTTTTTTGATTTTTTTTTACTCGTCATTGATTCCGTGCGTAAATCGACGAAGTGATTTGACATCAAAACATTTTCCTTAATACATTCGGTCACATTTGGATTTATGACTTAAACACATAACATATGATGATCCTTTGTTTTGCTTTATCCATCGTCCTACTCCGAATAAATTACGATTTAACATTAATTCCATACCCAATTTTATTGTTATTCAATTTACTAATTTATTTGATACCTTTGACGTCATTCAACACAGTTTTTCTTCTATATTTGGCAGCCGTGTGAAATAACGAATCGATATATCGGTTCGAACAAACCATTTTTGATACGCCCATTCTATTCTTGCATCCTTTTTCTTCATTCCCCATACACAATATATAAATACAATCTTATTATTATTAATACATTATCCATTCGCTTTGAACTTTCTAACAAAATATGTGGCGTTTTTTTTTCTCCTTTCTATGTGTGTCTATTTTTTTGTGCGCTCGCTCAATGTGATGCAATGTGTTGCATGCATTCAAACCATGCAGTTATATCGTCGATGTGATGCAGCGGTAATCGATGACAATGCACAAAGCGCTAACAGACGTGTGTTAGATACAGCAGCCGTTGCAAATGCCCCAGCGAAAGAGCATGATCGACGACTTAAGAAAAAAACTGAAAAATGCCGAACCAAAACAGGTATGTATATGTTGTGTGCATTTGTATGTGCACATTGTGTATTATTATTGTATGTTCCAAAAAAAAGAGACCAGTTTAAAAACTCAATGGGATTTGAAATGTTTGTTTAACTGTAGAAATTCTCCATTCTTCGAACGTCGACGACATGATAAATGTAATGTGTGTGTTTGTGTTTGAACATTTTTGTCTTTATTCACTGCGCATTTTATGCCATTGATTCATAAAATAATCTAACATTTGCCCCGGTCTCTTCATAACATTGTCACCTTTTCTTCACGTTCATGGAATTAGCAATGAATGGTGTGTGTGTGTGTATGTATTGCTTTTTTCTCTCTTTATCTTTACTCATTTATGCTTGTTAAATGTCTTTTTGACATTTTTTTTCTTCATGTGTTCGAATCTTTTTTGTTTTCTTATGCTCGTTTTTCTTTTATAAATCTCTTTCTTTATTCGTTCAATGTTGTTTTGTTACAATAATTCGGTCATTTTTATTTCACTTTTCACTTTTGTTGCGTAAAAATTGTTGTTGCTCATTTTTCGACAATTTTTTCCAACAAATATATTGTAATTTTGGTTCAAACATTTTCAACAAATATCCATTAAACTAAAGTTTGCCGTTTGGTATACACGGATAGCGATAGACAATGCTACAATCGAAATCGGAATGAATGGGATAAGTGCAGTGCACACACCCAGAGATATATATATATACATAAGAATGAATGCTGTATGGATCGAAATCAACATCAGTTTCAACGAGACGAGAGAGAGAGAGAGAGAGAGAGAGAGAGTAAACTGTGTTACTGCATTCGGTCAAAATTGAATGACAAATTGTTCAAAAGACAAAATTGAAATATTTACTCAAACTTTTACAAAGTCAACGCAAAACTGATACTCTATGTATGGTTCGCTCGCTAAACGTATATAGTGTGTGCGACGTATGTGACATTTATACAAGTAAAGTATATCCGCAAATAAAATTACTGCTTGCCTGAGGTTTAATGCTATCAAATTTCTCGTGGAATCAAAGTCAAATGTAATCAAAAACATTCACTAACTCGTTGTATATTGAGCGAGATGTGGAATTATTACGAAATCCCTAATCCAAAACTTCAAACTTTTAACTGATTGCCAATGAATTTGATTCACTTAAACTTCGTCAATTACATTTCACAGTCAACATGTGAAGTTGTTCCAACTTTTTCTTCTCTGGATCTTGTTTTTGTTTTGATTGGAAAACAACAAATTTTGAAAAAAAAAACGTTTAAAATAGCCCACATTGGAAGAAGATACGAATTTGATTTTAATAACGAAGAAAGAGAGTTTGAAAAATAGAGTTTCATGTTACATATAGGAAAAATTCATAGCTTGTATTATGTATTAAGATATTCGATATGTTTTACAAAATGTGTGTTTTTTGCTCTTTTCTATCTTTTGCAGAAGCATCGAAGAAGACTAAAAAGAGCCAAAAGAAATCGGGCAATGCAATCAAGTGTGTTGTCGTTGGTGACGAGAAGGTAGGAAAAACGAATCTAATATTGGCGTATTTGCAGCATCGTTTCACAACAGAACATGTGCCAACCGCATCCGACATTTACAACTGTAAGTAAATCAACTGTTAATGCGAACAACTTAAAATTGGGTGACCATTCGACATTTTTTGTTTGCTCACTCTTGGTTTTCTGTTTGTATTATTTGTTTATGTATTTGTTTGTCCCTCTCTCAATCTCTCTCTCTCTCTCTCTCTCTCTCTCTCTCTCTCTCTCTCTCTCTAGTTGAAGTAAAGGTGGATGAGAATCCTGTAAAAGTGGAGTTGGCCGACACAGCGGGACAAGACTTTTTAGATCCATTGCGACGTTTATGCTATCCGGACAGTGATGTATTTTTACTGTGCTTTTCGGTCATCAAACCGGACACATTTGTAGCGGCACGTGAAAAATGGGAGCCAATCTTTCGTAAAACGCACAAGCCCATTGTCATCATTGGTACACAGTCTGATCTGCGAAGCGATTCGGGAGTTATTTCAAAATTGTTGGTAAATATCCCCCCATTTTGGTGTGATAGTGTTTGTGTGCGGTACTATATTTTGTTTCATTTTATTTGTTTGTTATTCCATGAATTTTGCATTATAAGGTTCGCGATGACAGACATGCCAAAATTGGAATTATTGATTCAAAAACTGCACACATAGATAGAAAAGAAAATTCACCCCAATCAAATCACAGATTCCAATCTTCTGCTTTTTTCTCATTTGTTTCTCTTTATTTCGCAGGCAAAAAATGAAAAACCTGTTTCATCTGCTATTGCATGGGACTATGCGACATCGATTGGTGCAAAATATATTGAAACGTCGTCTCGAGCAAATGTAAGTATTATCCTCATCCATATTCTCTGTGGCATTAGCTTGAACTGCATCTACTATCTACATGCCGTGTACAACAAGAACAAAAAAAAACAGAATTCGATACATGGAATGTTCGTTGCGGTGCTATCTGCTATGGCATATTTTCATAACAGAATTACGTATGCGAAACGGTTCCCAAACATACTTTTTTGGCATCTATTTTTGGTTGTATGTTCGATCACTTGTATATTATTTGCATGCTGGATTCTTTTTTATAGGTCATGTCATTCAGAAACAGAATATTCCATTTATGCGACGCTTTGAGGGATGATGCTGTGCTCTTCGTATTTTCAGCATATTTTTTTCTCGTTAGTGTTTCTTTTTTGTCGTTCCAAGCATGTTATATACATGTGTATGCCGTTCCGGCTGTACATATATTGTACATGAACCTGATAATATTGATACACTCCTGAACAGAATTTTCTAAAAAAAAATCTGGTACAATAACTTGTCAATATCTTATTTTATATACGTAAGCTAGTTGCTTGAAGCGTAGCTCATAGTAACTGTGCCATTTTTATCAAAATTCAATAAAATCTATCGAACACTTTCCTCATGCAACAGTAGCCACATAGTAACCACAAAACAGATGCAAAAAGTAACAATTTTAATTTTCCTCCTGAAATCCACATACATCCGATGCACACATATTAAATTCCGATAGCTACCACATCAAATAACTATGCACTTCATTTTTGTTTAAATTCCAACATTTGATAACGTTTTTTCTCTTTTTCTTTTTTTCGATTGAACGAACCATTGGCATCGCGATCATTTCAATGGAATGAACAGTTAAATGTGAAAGAGGCCTTCGATACAGCTATTTGGCATGCGCTTGTGTCAATGAACGAAAGAAAAAAACCACCACTTTGGAAGCGATTACTCTGCCTGACCTAAAATCATTTCACTGCTGTAATTGGATTCAAATTAAACGAATTTCCACTTTTTTCGTCCTTTAAAAACATACATATTAAGTAAAATGTTGTTCATAGCTATGTATTTTTTTTATTTTGAAATTGTAAGTGATAAATGTATCAGCAAGAGAATCACATAGTTATAATTACCTTTACACATTCCGTTTTTTGGAAAAAATTACGAAACATTCGATGACGTTCTGTACATTTTAGCATTTATATGTGTAAGGAAATTACAAATACATTTACGAAATTATTGGTATTGAATAATAAATTTAAAAAAATCAATTACTTTGAATTCGAGACCAAATTCTATTCAAATAAATTATTTAAAATTGCATTCGACGTTTTTGTCATCTTCTATTTTGAAAGGACTTGTAATTGTGTGTCCTGAATTATAAATGAGACATGTAGCACACGAATTTACAGATTTCTACTGATCTTATACCGCTGTCCAAAACTTGCTCCGTTGTTTTTATGCAATACTGTCAATGGCCATAAAATGCTGGCTGCACTTTAAACACATTCGAGCAGTTCATTATAGAAAATTGGTCATAAAAGTTCCAATACACATACCGAATTTAAATAGCCATCGTTAGCAACTAATTGAATTTTACAACATTTTTAACTCTTTTGACTTTGAGAGCAATATTCCTGTGTATCAAAATTATTTTGGTAAGTATTAAGTAATCTACAAAATACATAATTTAAAAATAGAACAAAAATAAAGGCAAATGCCAAATTGTTCGAAGATTTTCATATTTGAGCCATAACCTGTCACCATGTTAACAAAAATGCCATTCCACCCTTCGTATCTACAATGCAAACCAGTCTATGTATTTCGGATGGATATCAATCCGAGATATTTTAGAATATCTGGATATTCAACGCAACTGCACAGCGCCAGAGCTGTGTGCGTCGCAAATAGAATCTACGGTATGTCGCGATGTATATGTGTATCAAGTGCCGCACGTACACAGTCACACTGTGTCTGTATTTTACGTGTAGCGACATACCGTAGATTATATGTGCGACGCACACAGCTCTGGCTTTGTGCAGTTGCGTTAAATATCCAGATATTCTAAAATATCTCGGATGGATATCCATCCGAAATACATAGACTGATGCAAACTTTAAGAAAACAGGCATACCGATAAAATGATAACCAGACGTTTTTATTGTGAATTTATCTCTTTTGCTACAAAATCAACAGAACTATAAACCGCTATACACGGATGTTTCGAAATACAACAAAACAACAACTATTTACTCCTTTACCGCTATTTACTACTTTAAAAAGTCAAACTGAATATAGCATCGATTTTTTTGGATTCGAGCATGATGGAATATAATCGAAACAGGAGAACTATGTAAATACTCACCAATAAGTGCCAAGAAGCTTACGATTTTTTTTGAATGCAGTAAATTTGGTACATTTATCGCTCGTAATAGATGTCGACGTCTTGCAGCTGACAATCAAAATAAACCGGAATATTTTAAATGCATTTACAAAACGATGAGGAACGATTTTACAATACTTAAATCGAAAATGTTTCATCATTGTCGTTCCATTTTTCTTCTATCGTTTTCCAAACTCATGATGATATGTGTTCAACTTACATTCGGTTGAATAACGAAAATTATGACAACGCTTCAAAGTATTTTATTTAATTCATTGTGTGACTTACTGTCATATACGTCCAAGAGAGTTTTAGTGTTGAGAAATAATTAGATTATTACTATGTCACATATTCTATTTTCAGAAAGACTTTGCAGAGATTTCAAAACGAATATGTTGTTATGGCCAATGAAATAACAAATTTTCTGTCATATTTTATTTGAGAATTCAAGCACTCAAGTCTTAATGGAAACTAAATGCGAGCGGAGATACTGCTTTATTGAATATGGCATAGCTGTTGAATTTTCGATGAATTATTTTCAAGACGTTCATTTTCCGACATAAAATATGCATAGTCACGTGGAACACAATATTCCTTACATGTATAAAATATGATATACAAATTGGCTTTACGATTTCCATCAGACATGCCAATCCGATTTAATACGATTCACATACGTATTGATTTGTGTGTGGGTGTGTTCAATCTAATTCGAATGGTAATGAAATTTGCGTAACATTTTACGCGCTTAACATTCTTGCGTCAATGTTATTCGATGAAACCGAAGAGATATTGAAATAAAACACATAATACTTGATTATTTTCGAAAAAAAATGTGATTACAATCATTTAATTTGTTTCCACATTTCCTTGTTTGTTAAATTTTGATACAGTAATAATAATAATAATAATAATCGTTTATCATTCTCTCATCATCCCTTTTTATCGATCCAATTTAATCTACATGTTGATATTTGAGCTTTGAATGTTCTAGTGTGTGTGTGTGTGGTGTATGTCTGTGTGTAAATTTTCTGCGCTCACAATATCCGTAAAATATCTCATCTTGTTCCATTCTATCGTACTGGGATTATGCGGTAATTCTGATAATGAGTAAACAGCAAATCATCTTATTTCATGCAACATAAAATCCCGAACAAATCTAACAAATTGAAATTATGAATGAAAAATCTTGAAACGTAATATGAACAATTTTGTTGAAATTTATAATAACTCTCGTTCTATCTGTCATTTTTTTCTTGTCACTTGTCCCCCTTTTTCCACTTTCTTTTGACGATACTTCTTTCATCTTTGAAAAACATTTTCAACATTCACAGGTAAGTAGTATTTATTCTTTAATACATTTAGAAGACATTTCAGTTTAATTATTATACTATGTGATTATCCCACAATGTGGCTCTATATAAATATAGTATAGCATATGAATTTGTTATTCATTGCAACATTGATAGTTCTTTTGAATGATGAGTTCGATATCTCTCTCCCTCACTCTCTTCATTTAGCTGCACAGTACATACTAGACTTGTCAGATTTAGTTCTCTCTGGCATTTTTTTTTCCAATGCCACCATTTGAAACTTTTTACAGCATTACTCTCTTTCTCTCTCTCTCTCTCTCTCTCTCTCTCTCTCTCTCTCTCTCTC